TCCGCCAAACGCCAGAGGTAGGGGTTTTTGTTTTTTTCGTGTCGTCTTTTCGTTTTGATTCCTATCGTTTTTTCTCGATTCGGTCTTAAATCCGACGAATTCCAGAGTCGGAGCCGTACAATCGAAGTCGTACAAACAGAGTCCGGAGAAGAAATTGAAACCCGACTCGTCAGTAGTCATCCGGCGCTCGCTCAGAAGCCGAGGGCTGCCGCCGGAGGGCGTAGACGGCGTCCTCTCCGACGATCCTCCTTGCGAAACCCTTAAATTTCCAGTAAGGAGAAGGTCTCGCCTCGTGTATTAGGTCCCCTGAGCATGAACGACGCCCACAACGGCGCTGGATGTAACCGGACACTGATTCGGAAGAGGAGTGGTGGTGTACCTACGAGGGCACGAAGGGAGAGGGATCGGGCTGGGTCACAAGCTTCACGATCACAGGGAGCGGGTTCTTCAATTTATTCTTGTGAGTAACGTCGGCGGTAGTGGTGACATGGCGGCGATGGCGGTGATGGAGGAGGAGAAAGGATAGGTTTAGGTGTTTATAGAATAATAGGAATTAATTTTAATTTTAATTTTTTAATAGTTGTAAAATGATGTGAAAATTGTAAATGTTTAAATTTTATTATTTTAATATTTTTTAATGGCCACGTCACTCATTTAACGGTCAACTATAATAGTTGACTGCCACATCAGCAAAAACTAACGGGGACTAATGGAGAGTGACCAAATTTGAACTATTGAACTAATCATAGTGACCATGAATGAAATTAAATATTTGTAGTGACCAAACATGAATGTTTTTAGTAAACCCAGTGACCAACCTTACAATTAACCCTAATTCAATCATTCGTGACAAATCAATTCATCACTGATACTACACTCGTCACAAAAAGGCCTACCCATGACAACTATTTGTGACCATTAAACATGTCATCGTTATTGTTTTCGTGTCTGTCACTAATTTGTCACAAAAAGGATCTTTATTGCTGACAAGATTGTCATGCAAATATTAGTATCTGTTACGAACAAAATCGTCACAATTGGAATCGTCATTTGTGATGATTTGGACTCGTCGCACATAAATTTTTAATGTTGCAAAAAAATTGAAAAAATTGTTGCCTATAATTATAAATGGATTTCTCATACAATCGGACTAGTAGAATCATCAAATCAGTTGTTATAGTGGTTCAATCTATTTACTTGGATAGCTGGAGATGGATTGAACATTTTTAACGGTTGGACATGAAACTAGATGAACCATCCAAGCTTGCCTGGTCCACCAAAACAAAAAAAAAATCAGAAATAAACTTTAACCTCAACTAAAATCCTCCAACTTTAATTACTAATTTTATTAATGATGCCTCTCTTCTTTTTGCACTTTCCTCGTTAACTTTACGTGATCCACTGCCGTTTGACACCCTAATTATTAACTTGATTTTAATTTTTTTTGTATAATTTCTTTGTGAGACCATTTGAATGCTTTTTTATAAATTTGATGATAAATTATATGAATTTGAAATTGTTTATGGTCAATGATAAATTTATTTTAAAAAAATTAGTACATTTGTGTTATAACGCATAAATCAACACTTAACCAACGATTATATAACAATTAACTACTGAATCATCTACACATACTATAATACACCGAAGTGAAAAACTGGAGCCCCATTTCAAATTTCCTGCAACGAGAGTGAATGTAGGAAGGACATTTTGGTCTTCACAATTACTTTTTTTTATTCATTAAAAAGATACATACTGGGATTCGAACCATGACCATTTTAAAGAAAGGAAATGATCATAACCAATCACACTAAGTACATTTGTTGTATCATTTTAAATTAAAAACATATAATAGCAGGGTGGAAAAAACTCTTCCCTCATTTCAAATTCCCTGCTCCAGGAGCGTTTGTAGGAAGGGTAGAATAGGGAGTATCAATTTTTTCTCTTTCCTCTGTGGAACGGGCCAACTTACCGTACACATGCGGATTTAAACGGGTCTAGGAGTGTCAATTTTTTCTTTATATCCTTTTATTTCTCCGTGGTGATAAAATATATATGAAAAGGCAAAAATAATATCCTTTTATTGTTAAAAATAAAAAATTTAACAATAAACTAATGCATGGTATCTAATGGGCTAACCGCTAACAATAAAATAAAAGAGTTGAATGAGCCTGACCTACATGAGATTTGGCCATCAAGTAAAACAAATGAACATCATTGGTTTGCCATTCTAAAACAAGCTATTTTCTTTGACATAATATATATTATGCTATTATTTTATATCTTAGTGGCTAAAATATAATGTATTTTAAAGTTATTCAATGGTTCAACCTCGAACAACCCAATTATTCCAATTTTTATCATTTCAAATATATATTTTATAATTATTTGACATCATATTGATCAAATTATAGTGTGTTTTATAGGGAATTGTTTGGTATTTGTTAGTAAAAAACTAAACATAAAGATCTATTTGGTTATTTTAAACATTAAAACGATCCTAAACATTTTCAGTTCCTTTTGAATTTCTATGGTTTTATTCCCGAATAAGTGATGTGCAAATGGCGAATTGTAGCCGTCTCTTTTCTTACACTATTTTTTATTTTCAAATAGAAAGTTTAAAAGTAAAGAATAATTAGAATTTGGCATGGGCCGGTCAAACAGACTGAATTTCAAGTTTTGGCCCGTTTGTTATCTGCATTGCAAATTTATTAGCATGTTGATGGAAATGGCTTGGAAAAAAGACATATAAGTTGTACCTTTGCAGAAATGTCCTCAAATGTTTGAATGCTTTGTGAATCAGGTTCCGTGACTTTTGTGATGGTGTATGTGCTTGACGATTGCTCGATGTTGTAACTACTTAATTTGAGAGTAAATCTTTTGATTTTCCCTATGAGTTGTGAATTGTGATACCAGTTCTGGTGGTTGCAGCATGTTGTCGTTGTTGGCCTGTAAAAGTTGTTCCGCCGTGATGCTAAATACCTTTCTTTCTTTTTTAACAAATTGTGTAGTAGTGCTATGAAACAGACCACCCATGAACGCTACACTTATTATGGCATGTTCTTACTTTCGGTGGTGAGAAATTGTGAATTGAGAATCATATTCGCCTACCGCATTGTGTCTGCCTGGTGGCTGCTTACTATGCTCTCTAGAGTTATGAAACAGACTACCCATGAATGTTACCCTTAAGAGTCCATAACTTTGCGGAAAACCAAATTTAGGCAATCAAAGGTGGTGGATGTGTGATGATTTTTTTATGGCTTAATTGTTTGTGAATTGGATATCTGATCTTTGTATGATTAGAGGGGATGTTTGCTTAATAGAATAATCCATTTTAATTCATGTTTATTTTTAACATGAAGTTTAGTAACTCAAAACCTTCGAGACACATATCAGCTACTGCATTGTATCATTTTGCCTGGGTGCTTGCTGTGTTGTCAAACTTCTTTTCTGCTGCTGCTGCATTTACACTAACAGGGGAGTTAAGAACCCATGAATGTTTCCGTTTGACACAAACAAGAGGACTTACTTCTAAATCGTGCATTAAAGATGATTGGAGGAAACATCTTTGTTGCAGTTGATATACTGGAGACCATAACAAAAGCAACGTATAACATCAAAACCAACCATCTTAACTATTAGCATTGTTGCTTTACTCTTTTTTCGTGGTTGAGTCTCCTTCAAAAAATTTAGTTTGATTTTAGAAAATTTTGCTTCTGCAGTCCTGTCTTGCCACCAACGCGTTCAGTAGATGGAGATGGCAGAGGCGAATGCTATTTTTGTGTTGTTGTTGCTGGTTTAGGGATCGGTTTGTGAAGAAGAGGGGAAAGAGAGGGGGAAAGAGAAATGCAGGAGAGGGGGATAACTCTTTTCTCCGACAAAAATGGAGTGAAGAAAGGAATTATGATCAGTAAGGATATGGTTATCTTACATAACGGTCTCTATTCTGTTTGAATTGAGCTTAGGGAGGCAGTGATAAGGACGAACTGCAACCAATTCACAGTGATAAGAGTGCTATGAACTGTGATCATGTCTTATTTCAAGTTAGAAGGTAGTTTCAGTATAAGGATTATTTAATTTGACAAGTTGTTTCGTCCATGATTCTTGGTAGTTTCAGTGCCATTCTAGCCATTGTTTAGTCTGTAATTTTTGAGAATTGATGTGCGAGTAATGACTTTCACTTAGCTTCAACTATTATGTGTGTATTTATTGGCATGTGATAGAATTCTCTTTTCTTTTCTTTGAATTCAGTTTCATACTCTAATTGTATCATTTGTACATAGGCAAATCATGCTCGAGATGACAACTCGCTGATATGGCTGGTGCAAGGAATGAAGCCATCATTAGAATTCAGACCGACAACGGGGAGGGATGCCCAGGACTAATTCAATGATGATTGATGATGGTATAATAAAAACTGCAGTCTGCATCAGCACCAATTTCTAGGCCTAAGTAAAGTTATTCAACCCAGAACTCTGCTTAGCGCTAAAAATTGCCCTCACCCAACCTTGATCATGTTTGACCCACTTCTGAAGAGTCAATATATATGACTAATCCTCTCCGTTCATATTTTCTTATTAACTCTTTCTGACCCTTTAGGTTGGGGCAGGTCGGGAAGAATCGGATTAGTGGGTCGGTCCTAATCAAGTGGAATCCTAATCCCTTCACTCTCACTTGCTTTCTCTCCCATTCCACAAGTGGGTAACATACAGTAATCCGGCCAACGGGCCGGGTAATAAGCTAGTAAATTACTAACTTATCTGGCATCCGTTCCGGTTCTAAAAACGTGATAATCCTCTCTGATTAATTGCATGATAAATAACTCGGCCAAATTAACAATGATATCGCCTAAACAATCCGTTATTATTGTGCAAACTGCCACGTCTGATTTGGGCTCACAAATAAAGAGGCCCCGTATAACAAAAGCAGAGTCCAGCCCAAGGGGAAACGATTTAAAATTAAAAGTCAACCCACCAAAAGTGTTAGTCAACGCCAGCTTCTTCCATTCATTTCTTATCATCGTCCCAAAGTCGAACCCCCAACAAACAACCAGCCACGCTGTAGAAAAACCGATCTAGCTAGAGCTCCTGATCCCAAATCTCTGCACATCTTCTTCCTCAAGAGAACTGAACTGGCTCCTTCAACTGCAGGTTTTATCTGTCTAAACACTAAGCCCTTTCCTTTGCGGCGTTAATCTTTCATATCAATCGCGATTTGCTTACTTGGAATCATTGACTGATGCAGCATCGCAGCAGCGAGATATGGAATCCTCTTCTTCTTCTACTGCATCGCCGCATGTTGCTCTTCCGACAGGGGAGTACGAGGTTTTCATGAGCTTCAGAGGCCCCGACGTTCGCAACACGTTTGCCGATCATCTCTACAGGTCGTTAACGCGTGCCAAGATTCGCACGTTCATGGACGAGGAAGAGCTCCGGAAGGGGGAAGGGATCGCTCCTTCACTAGTCCGGGCCATCCCGGAATCGAAGATCTACATAGCTATTTTGTCCGAGCGGTACGCTTCCAGCAAATGGTGCCTTCTAGAACTGGCTCAAATGGTGGAGTGCTGGAAGCAAAGGAAGGGACATCTCATCCTCCCCATTTTCTACTTGGTTAGCCCGAGAGATGTGCGACATCAGGAGGGTCTTTATCAGCAAGCCTTTGAACACCACGCCCACAAACACAGCCCACAAACAGTGAAGGAATGGAAGGAAGCACTTCGAGAGGTCGGGCAAATGAAAGGATGGCACGTTACAGAATCCCGCGGGTAATTAGATTAGATTAGATCTCTATGTTTATTTCATTGATATTTCTTGCTTACTAACTAGTCACATCTCTTTTAGAACTCTGTGTTACTACTTCACCACATTGTCTTTGCTTACTCTAATGATGCTACAGCGAGGGAGCCATTGTTGACGAGGTTCTTTCCAGAGTTAAATCACATCTGAGGAGCATGTACACATTAGTGACCGACGAGCTGGTGGGGATCGATACTCCCATGGAAGAAGTGATGAAGTTGTTGAATTTAGAGTCATCCAAAGAGAGAGTTATCGTTGGCATTCACGGCATGGGTGGTCTAGGTAAGACCACTTTATCCAAAGCTGTATACAACGAGATTTGTGCTCAATTTGATCGTTGTTGTTATCTCGAAGATGCACGAGAAGCTTTAGCAAAGAGTGATGGAGTTGTATCTCTACAGAATAAGGTCATCTCTACCATATTGGAAGGTGATTATCATGTTCAAAATGCTAGCGAAGGAATCAACATGATTAAAAATAGGGTTTGCAAACACAAATTGCTTCTTGTTGTTGACGATATAGATGACAAGTTCGAATTTAATAAGATTCTAGGAAAATTAGGTGATTTTTCCTCGGGTAGTAGATTTATATTGACAACTAGATATACGAGGATTTTAGATTTTATTTCAGATTGCAGATTGTATGAACCACGAGAACTGAGTCGTGATCTTTCCCTACAACTTTTTAGCAAACATGCTTTTGGGATGAACAATCCTCCAGAGGAAGATGCAGGTATATCTAAGGAATTTGTAAAAGTTGCTACTGGACTTCCTTTAGCTCTCAAGGTGATAGGATCACTTTTGTATCGTAGAAAGAGGAAATTTTGGGAAGAAAAGTTGAAAGAATTACAAAGCATACCTTCTTCCGAAAATATGTTGCAGGAGAGATTGAAGGTTAGCTACACGGACTTGTCGCACAATGAAAAACAAATATTTCTTGACATTGCATGTTTCTTTGCCGGTAGCCACAAAGATATACCTTACTACATGTGGAGTGGTTGTGATTTTTATCCAGAAAGTGGGATCACTAATCTTATCCACAGATCTTTGCTAAAACTTGATGAGAGAAACCAATTTTGGATGCACGATCTCATCAAAGATCTTGGGAGAGCCATTGTTAGAGAAGATGTTCGAAATCCATACAATCGTAGCCGGATATGGTCTACCGACGATGCCCTCGACATGTTAAGAATCGAAGAGGTAAGGATTCTTGTCAAACCTAGCTAGTGACCTTTCATTCGCGTATCAGATGATTTTTATATATGCTTTCGTGCAATAACCAGTTTCTTTTCACGTACGTTTTAAACAGGGGAGTGAACGGGTGGAAGTTGTTCGGATAGATGTGAAATTTAGCGATGATCATGACAGGCTGCTGACAAGTAAGAAATTTGAGAAATTATCAGGGTTAAGATATTTGGAGGTGCGATATGGACTCATGATGGGGGATTTCAGCCAGATTCTTCCAAATCTATGTTGCCTTCGATTGTATAACTGTCGATCTATCCCAACTAACGTTAACACGAAACAATTGTCGGTACTTGATTTGGAGGGTTCCAGTGTGATGGATGACTGGAAGGGCTGGAGTGGAATAAAGGTAATCCATTTCTCTCATCTTTTCCATAATAACAATATATAATATATAACACGTGATTACTTGCGGCAAGTAACTAACTAACAAACAACCTAACTATTTATTACAAATTACAATCCACAGGCAACGTCAAAGCTGAAAGCTATAAATATAGCGAACTGCCTGCTGACAAAATCTCCCGACTTGTCGACATGCACAAGCCTCGAGTACATAAATTTCATGGGATCTTTCACAGTGGACGGACAGTTCAGCATCGGCAAATTCAAGAATCTGGAAACGCTGATACTCAAAGGAATCGACATAACAACGTTGATCATTGGGGGTGGTGGCATTGGAAAGCTTCGACGATTGGAGGAGATGCAGTTGATGGGGACCAACTTGAGAGAATTGCCCGCCGGAATGGAAAATTTGCCCTCTCTCGAAACCCTGTCGTTCGGATCGGCACACTGTATGGAGATTCCCAGGCTTCCGGCGAGTTTGAAGAGGTTATCCATCTCGTATTCTTCGAGGGTCCCGAATCTTGCTGAGCTCAAGGAGCTGGAATCCCTGAGCTACCTGTGGGCTGATAATCCTTGGATCCCAGGAGACTTATGGCGGCTTCCCAATTTGAAGGAATTGACACTGAGGCACTCCCGTTTCGATGGGCCACTGCTGCAGGATGATCAGGACCAGGAGGCAACAACAACTTCCCCTGCTGCTGCTGCTGCTGCTGCTCTGCCCACATCTTTAACCCGCCTTCTTGTCGAGAGCTGCCCGCAGTTGAACGAACTCCCCAGCCTAGTGAATCTGTGCAATCTGACCCGACTCGTGCTCTCGGGTATCGGGGTTTCAGAGATCCGGGGACTGGGAGAGCTGAGGGCGCTGGAGACTATGGAACTATGTAGACTTGAGAATCTGAACAATCTCAACGGACTTGAGAATCTGCTTCTCCTCAAGACCTTGACCTTGAGAAACGCCCCGCTGGAGAGACTGCCGAGTTTAGCGAATTTGACCAAGCTGAAGGATCTGGAGGTCTGGGACTGTTCGAATCTCGTCGAGATACAAGGACTGGGCGGCATTGGGAGGGAGTCTTTATCCCGTCTGAAAATCGGCAGATGTCCCAACCTGGCAGACTCGGACGGACTTCAACTTCTGGTAGCACTGGAGGAATTGCTTTTGTACCAACAGTCGTTCGGCGGGATGCAATCTCTCAATCTCTCCGGTCTCGTCAATCTGAAACAGTTGAACATCCGCAGGTGGCGGGAGTTGCTGGAGGTTAAAGGGCTGGAGGGATTGGTGTCGTTAGAAAGGCTTACCATGGAGGGCTGCACTTCCATCCAACAGCTGCCGGACCTGTCCGAGCTCAGGAATCTCAAGGAACTGCACCTCAGTGATTGCCAAAGCTTGATTCATCTCGCGGGGATCGAGAGATTGGAATCGTTGCAGCGGCTGCTGCTGCCTCGGTGTCGTTCGATTACCAAGCTGCCAAACTTATCCGGCCTCAGGAATTTGGAGACTTTGGACCTCCAGAGGTGCGTAGAGTTGACCGAGGTCGAGGGGGTCGAGGGATTAGAGTCGTTGAGGTGGCTGCTGCTGTCGGAGTGTCGTTCTGTTACAAAGCTGACCAACTTATCCGGCCTCAAGAATTTGGAGACTTTGCATCTTTCGGAATGTGTGAACCTGACCGAAGTCGAAGGGGTCGAGGGGCTGGAGTCGTTAACAAGGCTGCAACTGTATAATTGCAGGTCGATAACGGAGTTGGGAAATCTGTCTGGTCTAGAGAAGTTGGAGGAGCTTAATATCATGGGGTGCACGAAGTTGATGGAGGTCAATGGACTTGACGAGCTGGAGAAGTTAAGGTACCTGGACATGGGGAGAAGGATGAGAGTGAAGTATTTGGCCAAATCTGCTGCTATATATTGCTTGAGACTAGCTGGCGCTGCACCAGTCGTTGGTCGCTTAGTATCGTGGGGTGCACGAAGTTGATCGAGGTCGACGGACTTGATGAGCTGCGGGAGTTATGGAACCTAGAAATGGGGAAAAGGATGAGAGTGAAGTAATTGGCCAAATCTGCTGCTAGGTATGGCAAAAGACTAGCAGCTGCACTGGTCGTTGGTCGCTCACCAACTGCTGCTGGGACTACTGCTTCCAGCTAACTACCCCACTCTGCTCTCGCTGTCTGCCGTCTTTTTTCCCCTGCAACTAAAACAGCATCATCTCTCCATAACCGACTGGCTGGCTCGAATGTACCGATTGCACTCACCAGCTCTGCAATTGGTGAAGATATCTGACCGCATTAAGAGAGATGCTCGCTCGGGAAGGCTGATCAGTTCATGTCCTTAATTCGCATGACGTTATGGGACAGTGTTTACTATCCTTGGAATAGCACTACTTTGTAAAATCTGCTGCTAGATATGGCAAGAGACTAGCTGGCGCTGCACCTGTCGTTGGTCGCTTAATATCATGGGGTGCACGAAGTGATCGAGGTCAATGAACTAGATGAGCTGGTGGAGTTATGGAACCTGGAAACGATGAAAAGGATGAGATGAAGTCTTTGGCCAAATCTGCTGCTAGATATGTCTAAAGACTAGCTGCACCGGTCGCTGTTCGCTCACCAAATGCTGGTGGTACTACTTCCGCCGTCATTTTCCCCTGCAACAGCAGCTGCAGTTGAAGGTAATATCAAGAAGATTGCATGAAGAGCACTGTAATATTAGGCACCAGTTTGAGGCATTGTGGTTGGTAACACATTTTGCGTCTTCTCTCTTTACTGTAAAAACCTATTTGTTCCCAACCTTTTTCCAGTTCTAAGTACTCTGTTTTGTTCAGCTGTGAATGAGAAGCATGGACGGTTCTGAAACTTCATCCATTGCATATTTAACTAGGATCTGCTGCACATCAGCTTGGGATCTTCCTAAGCAAAAGAAGGTTAACCTCAGAGTCGATACATCAGCTCTTTTCTTTTGGTCACGGCCGTAGTGCTATCCTCTTCAGGGACGATCAAAGCTGTTTGCTGATTTGAACTCGACGACCACAACAAGGTCGGCAAATGCGCAACCAGAGCTGGCGACAGAGCTGGGCAGCAATGTTCAAACTGCAAAACTTATCCTGCGCCTCTTCCCCTTCCGGCTTCGAAAAAAACACACAACTGATCGATCAAGCAAAGGATAACTGGCTAAGGGAGTGTCGTCAGTTTTCAACTTACAGCCGGCCAGAAATCCAAGTGAAGAGCCCAGATTGGCGGAACTGGTTGTGCAGCTGGATTATGTTCTCTTAGAAAAGCAGAGTGTCCTGCCATGTTCCCTTGGTTTTGGTTTTCTTCCGGTGCACGAGAGTAATTAAGTGGGCTGCAATGCGGGATGACAGCCCAACGGGCTCAAACGAGAGACCGCTCGACTAGGCCCAACCAGCAAATGCAGTGAAAAAGACGAGAGCTTAGCTGCTTTCATTACTCTATCAAAATAAGGCAATACATACAGCAGTACACTTGCATTTCCATACTTGAGCAACTACTCCAGACTCCACAACAAAGTGATCAACCATTCCAGCAGGTTATATTCATATGGTCTATTAACCGACTGGATGATAAGTGATTCATATGCCGGGACCAGAATGATTTGCAGGCGTCCTCCTGGGAATCATAAAGCCAAAACGAGTACTTTAGCTCAGTTTTCAACGATGAATCTCCCCCGCAGTAGGGTTTATCATGAAGATGGTTCTGATCTCGGCCGAGTGTAGCCCAGCTGAACGAGCTTCTCCATCATTTTCCTCTCGGCGTTTGCCTGACACGCAAAGAAGATGACCAAGAAGTTAGTGCGCTGCAGAACCAAGATCCAGGGAACTCATAAGAAGGAAAACAAGGGAAACAGAATCAGGGAGGTCACACAACTTTAGGGTGAGGTGGAGGGGCAGAAGAATAGACTTCGGGACGTTTCAGTAGTTAACAAGATATGTACTACTAATGACATATAAGTTTATGGCGAAGAAGGAATCGATTCTGAGAATAGATCTTTTCAGCATAAAGACACATTATTCATCAATCAATTTTTTCTCGTGTTGTGCCCATTTGCATTATCAAATTCAGGAAAGAGGTGGGAAGTACCCGCATTTGAACATAGAAACTAGTATTTGGTGAGTGTTCGATAAAGTAGGGAGGGGGAGAAAACCTCGATCAAGGGACTGTTCTTGGGGATATTGGAAGCCAGGATGACATTGAGGCCACTCTTCAACACTGTAAGTGGAAGCATTTAACACAAAATCGTCAATCATTCAGCAAGGAAGATAGAGCAAATATATAAACAATCAAAGTTAAGAGAAAGGTTAAACTTCCCAGTGAAGATTGACAGGGGGAAACTAACCTATGCGACGGGCAATACCAGCTCCGGGGTTATCTGAAGAACCACCAAGAACACAGCTGACGCTCACTCCTTCGCTCTGATCACATCAACACACCGAATATGTTTTGAGCAACAAAGTAAATAGGAACAATTATAAACAACGAGATGGACTATAAAGGTAAAGAGAATACTCACAGGACGAGTGTGGGCAGCTGCATAAAGGTGACCCATCTTAGAGGAATTACAACCAATCCAAGCATATATCTGCCGGAGGGGGCACTCGCAGAGATATCAATCATAATCAACCAATCAAGAAGGCAAGTTTTTCAAAAGTTACAACAAGAATGAGAAAGGGGAAGAAACCTGCTTCGGAAGTCGGATGATCTGGAAATGAAGAGTGAGTTCATCTACCACATCAGTGAAACAGTGGACTTGCAAGCCGCCAGCATCATTTTCCTGCTGGGGAGATGTAGTTGAGGCCATTATTTGATCTACCAGAGGTACAACAGCATGAGACTGAGCTGAAATCAAACAAAGCAAGTTTAAGGTGTAAGAACTTCAATTGATTGAAACACCTCCACACCAGAATTCACTTTCACAGTGAAAGTAGAACAGATTCAAGTCAACATGAGGCCCAACAATCAGTTCACTATACTAAGCCTAGCTTGATCAAACCTTTTCGCCAAAAGTTAATATATTCCAACGTTTTCCTCTGAAATAGAATCATCTCCACCACGAGAACAAGTTCACAATCAGTTCAAGCAAAAGCCCCAAAAGTCAAACAAACAGCAAGAGTTCTGCAAAACTCAGGTCACATTCCATACATACACGAGAGTCGAGACCCTAAGAGTTTGAAATCGGCAAAGGAACTATCAAGATTCAAGTTTCTTAAACATAAATCCCTAAATAGAGAGGGTAAGATTCTCAGCAAAAGCACGAATGTCCAGCTAAAACGCTGGCCAAGCGAAATCGGCAAAAAAAATTCGAACTTAATTAAGCTAGCCCTAGGGTTCTAGAGCTCGTGAAATTAAACTAATGAAAACTAATGCTCGAGCTCTCCTGATCGCAGGCTGGAGCTGTAACAAACAGGTGAGATTCAAAACTGTGAAAATCCGAATGCCTACCACGAGAGCAAGAAGATGAATCAGGCAGAGGCAGTGGATAGGAAGATCGATTGTTGAGTTGATCGACCTGACTGTAAGCAGTAGCGAGCTGAGGGCGGCGAGAGGATTGGACTGACTTGGGACTGGGAGAACGATTACGGCGGCCGGCGGGAAGGGGGAGGAGAGCGCTAAAAGGAGAAGCTTTGCTGCTGCGTTTGAGCGATTGCAGTTCAGTCCCTTAGGTTTTCCTTTTCGTCGGATTGATCCCTTAAGTTAAGTTAAGTCATATCAAACATAATATTCATCTTAGCCCCTCAATTATATGATATATACTATCTTAGTGCTCCAAATTTTTTTTTAGTTACTCATTTGAGTATGTGTCACGAGAAGCAGAGTGATTTATCAAAAATATCCTGATTATCATATGACATAACGATAAATTGTCATTGATTATGGAATTGGGACTCGGGCTCCAAGAGAGCGTTGACACAAGCTAAATATTTCGAGAAAACAATAGTTATGAGAAGTATAAATTTTCTCATCATCACGATAACAAATACAGTAGTCCTTTTGATGAGTAATAATACCTAATGCAAGACAGATCGGCTCTTTTACGTTCACTAAATTTACAAAGGCACCATGATTGTGGTTAACATCCACAAGACATTTGATACCTTGATGGTTAATCTGAGAAACACACTAGTCAAAGCCAACAAATACTCCAAAGTTGGAATCTAATTAGTGTACATAACCAATTGTCATTACATGTAAAACTAACAAAGGTTTCAAATAAGACCATGGAAGAATGACACAAATTTAACATTCAATGCCCAAGACCAATCATCCACTGCAAAATCATCGATTTCATAGCCTAGCTATGTAGTATGAACATGGAATAACTACAACCATGAAAAGACACTAACCTAGTCTTAATCTCTCCAATTTGCATACAATTACGTATAAATACTTACACACATTAATACCACATCTCATCACCATCTCCCAAATCCCAATTCCCCAAATCTTCTCCAACACCATCCAACGATTCAATACTCTACGAAACTAGCCAGAAAAATGGGCAAACAATTGATCACCAGCAACGGAACATTCACGACGACGACGACGACCTCCATTCTCTTGGTGGCGATACTGCTGTCCTCTTTAGCGACGAAGTCAACGGAAGCTGCGGCCGCCGACACCACCAACGCAACGGCGGCGGCCACGTCGACGACGATGATGCTGAGGCCGCCGGGGACGGCGTGCCGGCGGGGGACGATGCCCACGAAGCTGGCGTGGCAGTGTTGGGTGGCGATATTCGAGGTGCCCCTCTGCATATTCGAGATCGCCGACGTGTTCGAAGGCGGATCCATCTTCACCGTCGGGAAGGTCTGCTGCCACGCCTTCATCGACCTCACCGACGACTGCAAGATCGAGGTGTTCCAGCACGCCAAGTTCTTCCCCGTCGTCGAGAAGTTCTGTTCTATCCTTGTCGCCGACGCTGCTACTGCTGCTAATGCCACCGCCGCCGCCGCCGGTGACCGAGCTCTATTACCTCCTGGCTCGGCTTGATCGAGCGCACTCTCGGTCGTTCATGTATTTATTTTATGTCGGATTTCGATTGTTAATTAGGACCTAGGTGGTGAGTGTGAATAAATTGTGAGAAGAGAAAGAGGCCAACTGCGCTGTAACATGTAAAGTTTGATGTTTTTAATTAAATTGGTTTCTCAATACTTACTCTGTTTCTAAGATCAAGAGCTCAGTTAGCTAAGCTAGGATTTTCAACAGTGTGGCAGATTGGAAGCAAGAAGTTGCGCGGCGACAAACTTTGACCAGTTGCTAGCGCAGGAGCCTATTGAGAAGCTGGGAATGTATTTTAAAGTTTTAAGGTTGACGATGACGTTGGCCATACTTTTGTGGGCTTTGACTCAGGTTGGACTCTGCTTTTGTTATACTGGGCCTCTAATGTGTGAGCCCAACATTTGTTTAAACAAATCACCATGGCAAATTACTAATCTGATCGTAGAACTTACATATTAAGAGAACTAATCAAATCACTCTGTCAAGGAAGAATTTTACATCACTTTTAAACAACCATATTCTTAGCGATGACTGAGGGACATAAGCAATCTATTAAGATTTTTTTTTAATATAGAGTTTTAGGGAGAAATTAAATTGTGTATCAATATAGAAAGGATGTCGCGTCTAAGATACAACCCTGTATAGTTATAGTGTATATATGCTATACTGTTTCTTAATTTACATTCTTTTATGGCTTGGCTTCCGATACAAAACTTCAGCCTGCCAGCAAAATCATCTAAAACCCCTGATCATATCATCGTATCACGGCATCGTGATATGATAATACGACACGATGATACGAACAAGTTTTAGAGGCTAGAATTTTGTATCCTATAATATATGCTCTCTTTTTTTTTTATTAAATATAATAATAGTATAAACTTATAACTACCACTCTATCTATTTTTACTCATAAACTTTTCGTTGTAAAATAATCATTTGATCTTTCTTTACATTCACCAACCAATTTTTTTTTATTTAAAAAAAGCACAAAACTCAAGAAGGTATATATGATAAATCCATTTACGTACACATCGAACTTTATTATCTTACATGAAGTATGGGTACCATACAACACTTATTTTAATTTTTTGTTACACTTTGCTCAAACCATGCACCCATCATTTCTTTCTAACTAAAAAGAAGAAGTACACCTATGAAAGTAAACGATGACCAGTTAATTAAGCTAATTTGGGAAACGGAGCTTGGTTGCCGAGACCGGCCGCAGTAGTAGTCATGGCGGCGCCGCCGCCGATGGCCGCGCAGAACTTCTCGATGGCGGGGAAGAGCTCCGACTTCTGGAAGACCTCGATCTTGCAGTCGTCGGTGAGGTCGATGAAGGCGTGGCAGCAGGCCTTGCCGATGCTGAACACCGATCCGCCCTCGAACGCCTTCACGATCTGAAACACGCACAATGGAACCTCGATTATTGCTATCCAGCACTTCGCCGCCACTTTCGGCTCCATCGTCCCCCTTCTGCACCTCGGCAGTGGCACCGGTGGTGTTGCTCCCGGCCTGGTCGCGTTACTATTAGCGACGGCGGCGGATTGAACCGTCGCTGAAGAAGAGGCTAGCACCACCGTCGTCGCCAGAAGAATGGAAGCCACGATCATGATCATTCCCTTGCATTGCAAACCCATGTCGCTAGCTAGCTAGAATTGCACTGATGATGATGAACAATGGACTGGAAGATTGGGATGTGGAAGATGAGATATGTGGATCGTATTTGTGAGTGTATTTATAGGAACGACTTGCAGTCTACATTGTGTTTCATTGTATTTGTCTTCATAGTGGTGGGAATGCTTGAATTGAATAATGAGTCGTCGTTTTCGCTATGATATGGATTAGATGTTCACTAAGAAATTGGTGATATTATTATACATCAGTTTACACTCGGCATTGAAGGTTAATTAGATTTGTGTGGGATTGTCTGATGACCTTAACACGTTTGTTTTGTTTAGTTGTACATAGTGATGTTTGATATTCTTAGTGCACTACACTGAGAATTAGGGAGTGTGTTGTGATTGTTGTCTATGTTCATTCGATGTATCGATGAGTTAGCATGTTTCGTGTTTGAAACAATTATAATATTGAAAGCCAATTCATCTATCATGATAAACTAAATTGACAGGATGAATGATCGAGAGTGAATCTGACACTTTTTCTTTATACATATTATGATTGCTGGCTATATTAGTCTGTGAAGCTAGCTATTTGTGATTTCTAAGTTTCTAATCGAGCAATATATGTTTAATTTGGCGTGCTTTTTTATTTTCAATGAGATTTTTCGTCAATAATTACTTAATTAGTCATCATTCTCAAAATCAAATGTATAAGAAGAGAATGATATATAAGACTCCAACCTAGTTGATAAAGAGTCCATGTGTAATATGGTTTGATACAATGAATTAACTAGTTTTCTTAACACTCATAACTCGAATTAGTGAGAACAACAACTAGGCCACATCGGTTAGCATACCTCACGGGTAAACATGTAGGCTTCAACAGATCCAATGGTGGTTGGTGATCATGAATGCAAAATCTTTTAGTCCATGTTATTCCATCGCTAAAACTGTTAGTGCTTATAACGTCGTTGATGATCGAGTTATTGTATACGCAAGATAAATGAAAAATCGATTTACATATCACCCTTTCAATTTCTTTCAAATGAATCGATTTACTCTGCTTTCTTACCTCTTGTTTCATAATCCTTACCGTTTACCCACAGACTAGTGCAGCTAAGCCGCTTCCCATATCGAGCCGCCAATTTGGCGAAACACTTCACTCTCATCCTTCTCCCCATTTTCAGCTTCCCTAACTTCTCCAGCTCATCAAGTCCATTGACCTCGACCAACTCCCTGCACCCCACAATATCAAGCTCCTCCAGATTATTGAGACAGGATAAGTTCGGCAGCTCTGCAATCGACCAGCACTCCGACAGCAGTAGCCGCCTCAACGACTCCAATCTGTGGATCCCCGTGAGACCAATCAAGTTCTGGCAGCCACAGAGGTTCAATTCCTTGAGGTTGTTGAGCTCGGACAGATCCGGCAACCGTCGAATCGAACCGCAACCCTCCATGGTCAGCCATTCCAACGACACCAACCTCTCCAGCCCCTTCACCTCGGTCAACTCTGGACACCGGAGGATGTTCAGCCGTTTCAGTTTGTGGAGACGACCGGAGAGATCAAGAGATGACTTCCGGCCGAAGGAATGTTCGTCAAAAGTAAATTCCTCTAATGCTTCCAGAAGTTGAAGTCCATCCAAGTTAGCCAAGCTGGGACATTTTTTGATCGTCATACGGGATAAAGACTCCCCGAGGCTGCCCAGGCCTTGGATTTCAATGATATATGGACAGTAGGAAACCTCAAGATCCTTCAAATTTCTCAAATTCGCGAGGCTCGGTAGCCTCTCCAGCTTGGCAGACCTCAAGGTCAGGGTCCTGAGGAGGAGCAGATTCTCAAGTCCGTCGAGGTTGTTTAGATTCCTGGAACCTATCTCCATAGTCTCCAGCGCCCTCAGCTCTCCCAGGCCCCGAATCTCAGCCACCCCGACTTCCGAGATTGTGAGATGGGTCAGATTGGACAGATTTGCTAGGCTGGGAAGCTCATTCAATTGCTGGCAATAAACGACGTGAAGGCTGGTTAAAGATGTGGGCAGAGCAGCAGGGGAAGAAGTTGCCTCCTTATCCTGTTCCTGCTGCAGCAGTGGACCACTGATAGGAGAGTACTCCACACTCAATTCCTTTAAACTTGGAAGCTTCCACAAGTCTCCTGGAATCCAAGGAGCATTACCGTAACTCAGGGATTCCAACTCCTTGAGCTCTAGCAGATTTGGAACCCCCGATGATGAAGACACGATGGATAACCTCTTTAAACTCCTCGGAAGCATGGGTATCACCATCAGGCTGTTCGTCCGCCATTGTGGCGACCCTAGCGACAAGATTTTGAGAGACGATAAGATTTCCATCCCGGCAGGCAATTCTCTCAAATCAGTCCAACTCACGTCCATCTCCTCTAGTCGTTGAAACTTTCCAATGTCACCGCTCCTGACGACCAACTCTGTTATGCGGGTTTTATAGATTCTCAGCGTTTTCATATTCTTGAATTTGTCAATCTGCATCTGTCCCTTCATATTGTAACAACGTGTAAAGGTTATGAACTCAAGGCTAGTGCATGTGGACAAATCGGGAGTTGTTTTCAGCTCCAAGCAACTCTGTACATTTACTGCTTTCAGCTTTGCTGCAGTCTGCAGATCAAAATAGATAGTTAGTTAATGGAAATGGTAAGGTTCCGACCCAATGTGTGATGTGTATACACCACATAATTGTTATGTCTCATATATGTAATTAAGAAAATACAAGAGAGGAAGAGATTACCTTTATTCTACTCCAACCCTTCCAGTCATCCTTTATATTGGAATGCTGCAAATCAAGTACTACCAATTTCTTTGCGTTAATATTGGTTGGGATAGATTCGCAGTGGCACAATCGAAGACAGCATATATTTGGAAGGACCTGGCTAAAATCTCCCATCATGCGTCCATATTGCACCTCCAAATATCTTAACCCTGATAATTTCTCAAATTTCTTGCTTTTAAGCACCCTGTCATGATCATCTCTAGATTTCACATCTATTCGAACAACTTCCACCCGTTCACTTCCCTATTTAGACGTACACGGAAAGAAACCAGTTATTACACTTGAGCATATACATAAATATCATGCAGTACTGGTGAAAAAGCCACAAAACTATTGACAAAAATCTTTACCTCGCTATTTCTCAACATGTCGAGGACATCATCTGTAGACCATATCCTGCTACGGTTGTATGTATGTCGGACATCTTCCTCTTTCACAATGGCTCTCCCAAGATCTTTGATGTGATCGTGCATCCAAAACAGGTTTGCTTCGTCAAGTTTTATCAGAGATCTGTGGATAAGAGTGCTGATCCCACTTTCTGGATAAAAGTTACAGCCACTCCACATGTAATAAGGTAAATCTTTGTGGCTACCAATAAAAAAACAGGCAATGTCAAGAAAGATTTGTTTTTCATTGTGCGACAAGTCATTGTAGCTGATCTTCAATCTTTCTTGCACCATGTTTTCGGTAGTGGAAGGAATGCCTTGTAACTCTATCAATTTTTCTTCCCAAAATTTCTTCTCTCTACGAAACAAAAGTGACCCTATCACCTTGAGAGCTAAAGGAAGCCCAGTAGCAACTTTTACAAATTCCTCAGATATTCCCGCAACTTCCTCTGGTGGATGGTCCATCCCAAAAGCATATTTGCTAAAAAGTTGCAGGGAAATATGAGAACTCATTTCTCCTGGTTCATATAATTTGCAATCTGGAATAAAATCTAAAGCCCTCCTATACCTTGTTGTAAATATAAATCTACTATCCGAGGAAAAATCATCTAATTTTCCTAGAATCTTATCAAATTCAAACTTGTCATCTATATCGTCAATAACAAGAAGTAATTTGTGCTTGCAAACCCTATCTTTTATCACATTGGTTCCTTCACTAACACTTCTAACCAAACGATCCACTTTCAAAACAGTAGAGATAACCTTATTCTGTAGAGATACAGCTCCGTCGCTCTTCGCTAGAGCTTCTCGCACATCTTCTAGATAACAACAACGATCAAATTTAACAAAAATCTTGTTATAGACAGCTTTGGATAGCGTAGTTTTACCTATACCACCCATACCGTGAATGCCAACGATAACTTTCTCGTTGGATGACCCTAAATTCAACAATTTCATCACTTCTTCCATGGGAGTGTCGATCCCCACCAACTCGTCGGTCGCCAATGTGTACATGCTCCCCAAATGTGACTCGACTTTAGAAAGGACCTCGCCTACAACAGTGCCCTCCCTGTGACATCAACAAAGGATTTTTCAAGATACAATCAGTAAGGAAATGCAGTGAAGTATGGAAGAAATGCAGTGAAACAGTAAGAGCGTTGGCACTCAAAGAGATCTAACCAGTAAGGAAGAAATGCAGTGAAGTACATACCCGCGGGATTCTGTAATGTGCCATCCTTTCAATTGTCCGACTTCATTTAGTGCTTCCTTCCATGCATTCACATTCTGGGAGCTATGTTTGTGGGCATGCTCTTCGAAGGCTTGCTGATAAGGACCTTGTTGATGCCGCACATCTTTGGGATCAACTAAGTAGAAAATGGGGAGGATGAGATATCCCTTCCCTTGCTTCCAGCAATCCACCATTTGAGCCAGTTCGAGAAGGCACCATTTGCTAGAAGCATACCGCTCGGATAAAATAGGGATGTAGATCTTCGATTCCGGGATGGCCCGGATTAGGGAAGGCGTGATCCCTTCCCCCTTCTGGAGCTCTTCCTCGTCCCTGAAAGTGCGAATCTTGGCACGCGTTAAGGAGGTGTAGAGATGATCGGCAAACCTGTTGCGAACATCGGAACCCCTGAAGCTCATGAAAACCTCGTAATCCCCTGCCGTAAGAACAACAGTCGGCGGCGTAGTTGAAGAAGATGCAGTAGTGGCGACGGAGGATTCCATTTCTCGCTGCATCAATGATTCAAAGGTAAAGCAGTAGCGATTGGTATGAAAGAACAGTAAAGGTCCAATTCCAATTCGCTATAGACGATGACATATGTAGTAGACCTAGGTATGAATGTTTTCGAAGGCAGGGGAGTAGGCAGAAATACCTGCAGTTGGCGGAGCCAATTCACTCGTAGTATAGAAGAAGATGCAGTGGCTCAGCTTTTCAAGAGTTTGGGAGGTTGGGGTTGACTTTGGGATGATGAAGAAGAAGTGAATGTTGGATCTCGTAACAGAATGGAAGAAGAAGAAGAAGAAGTCGCTGCGGAGAAGTTTCAGAGAAACTGGGTTTTATATAGGGGTTTGATCGGTTTCCCCGTTCTACTTTAGTTGGCGTTGACGTTGACTTACATTTTTGGTGGGCTTGACTCTTGAAATCGTTTTCCCCTGGGCTGGACGCTGCTTTAGTTCTACTGGGCCACTTATGCGAGAGCCCAAATCAGGCGTGGCAGTTTGCAGAATCATAACGGATTGTTTAGTGATAAGGGTTAATTTGGCCATAGTAAGTGAAGGATTATGATTTATGACGAAATTTATAGAGATCAATGTCAAACCGATTAAGTCATTAAGCCGGTCAAACAAGTAGGCATGGCAATCGGGCGGATCGGGGTTGGATGTATATGGATCCGTTACCCGCCCGCTGGAACTTCGGGTTCGGGGAATCCCCGACCGAATGCTGTTATCGGATATAAAATAGCAACCAAGCCCGCCCGTTTTCGGATGTCGGGTTTGTCGGGGACCCGGAACTTATCCGACTAGTTCATTAATTAAAAAACAACAACCAAATTCTTACGTGAAGCTGAAGCATGAACTTCATAACATCAAATCCAGAAACCAGAATGCACTGGAGAAGTAGCAAAAGAACAAAACATTCAACAGAAAACATCCAATCCTAAAATACCATCAAATCCAAAATGACCAAGACCATTGTATCAGCAAAACAAAAGTTTAAATAACTAGCAGAACATCTCTACTACTCGAGAACAGCTTCGATAGCAGCAGCAACACAGCAGCAAGATAAAGACTTCACTTCAGGCCTCCATACTCCACTTTCCAGCAGCAGCAACAATGCAGCATTCTGATTTCTGCATTCCTTGGTTCCACCCAGCAGCCAAGGCAACAAAACTCAAACAAAACCTGAAAAATGAGGAAAAACAACTGTTATTAAGGATCCAAATTCACAAATCATGAAATCAACTAAAGTACTAAGAGAAATCAAAAGTTTTTACTTACATCTTGCTGCTAAGTATCAGTTCACAAATCTTGATTAATCTTCAAGAAGCTTGAAACGAGGGGCTTGCTCTACACATTTAAACAAACTATCTCAATCTCATTGACATATATCAAAGGCTGGAAGAAATCAGACAACTGAAACAAGGTTTTTTGCTTATTACCTTCAGTAGTTTCAGCATCAGGTTGGAGCTGGACCAGATTGGCTTCACTTGTAGGGGAGAAACATCCTTCCAACACTTCTGCTCCAGCAGCAGCATCATCTACGAATGCAAGCCAAGTCAAAATAGTTACATAACATGCTAAAACAACAATGAAATTGAACAAAAAGATTAACTTAACAGGGTTAAGAGTTTACCTCCAGCCAACTCAGCTTGCAACCAACTTCTTGTGCACACAAGTGTTTCCACAGTAGCATGGTGCAACTTGCTCCTATGAGGGTCTAAAACACGACCTCCAGAGCTGAATGCACACTCAGATGCGACAGAGGTAACAGGAACAGCCAAAACATCCCTTGATATGGCTTGCAAAGTGGGATATTTTGGACCATTATGCTTCCACCACATTAAAATATCAAACTCAGCAGAACGAGGGAGAATTTCCTCATTGAGGTAACTGTCCAACTCAGTATGGACAGAAGTAACCCTTGCCCTTTTTCTTTGGCTCACAAATCGATCAAAGTCCAAATCAGTGGTGCTAGGAGCAGAGGACTCAACTCCAACATACCCAGAAACATTCAGATTCCTCTCCTCATTCATTTTACTTTGGTACTCCAATACCAGATCAGATAATATGTCCTTAACAGATTCCAAACAATAGCCATCAAATTCAACACCAAATTTTTCAGCATAGTAGTCAACAATTTCCAACTTATACCGTGGATCTAGAATCACAGCAATAGCAAGGACTTTGTGAATCTCGTCCCAGTACTTGCTGAATTTTTCCAGCATAGAATAACCCATCTTTTGAATAACTTCATTGGTATCAACACACCACTCATGAATCTTGAGTTTCAACTCACAAATACGAGGGAAGAACAGATTAGTCGTTGGATACCTCGATCCAGAGAACAAATCAGAGATAGAGCTAAAAACTTTAAGTTTCTCACAAACAAGTGCAGCAAATTGCCACTGCTCATTCGATGGCAAGAAATTATATTGAGCATCACGTTGCTTCAGTCTAGTGAAAACCTCCTTGTAAGGAATAGCAACAGATAGCATTTTAAAGGTGGAGTTCCACCGAGTAGGGCAATCCATAACAAGTCGTTTCTCAGAAGTGAATTTTAACTGCTTTGCAGTTTCAAGGAAGAACTCTAGCCTTTTAGGGGTAGCAGACCAGTAAACAACACTGCTCCTAATGTTATCAATTCCCTCTTTAACAACATCCAGACCATCTTTCACAATCAAATTCAAGATGTGAGCAGCACACCTCATATGTATCAAAGCACCATCACTTATCAAGTCAGGTAACACTAATTTTGACTGTATGACACGAATCATAGAGTCATTAGTGCTACAATTGTCTAGGGTAATGGTGGATACCTTACTGTCGACATTCCAGTCGAGCAAACAGTTAACCAACACTGTCCCCAACCTTTCAGCAGTATGAGGTGCTGGTACATATGCAAATCTGCACAAGAACGAGCAGACAAAGAAATAATTGCAATTAGGAATGAAACACAAACTAAGAAACAGAAACCAATGATTCAAATAGATACAAACTACATGTCTTACCTAAGCATATGGCTCCTAAGCACCCACGAGTTGTCAATATAATGAGCTGTAACAGCCATGTACCCCTTCTTTTGATTGGTGGCAGTCCACAAATCAGTAGTTATTGCAATTCTACCTTTGTTGATATCAAACAGACTTTGAATCTTAGCTCTTTCAATATCATAGATCTTAAAGACCTCTTTCTTTATAGTATTCCTCGATGGAACCGTGAACAATGGTTGAAGAGAGCAGACAAATCTCTTGAAATAGAGATGATCAACCATCGATAAAGGATATTCATGCATTGTAATAGCAATTGCAAGCTCCCTTTTTGAAAAATCAGAGTTGAAAGCAGTAGCAACCAAGTCTTGATTCCCTTTAGCCAAATAGTGAGGGCCGAGAATCTTTTGACTACCATCCCTAATTTTCTTCTGAACACATATTTTGGTGTGATTCTTTAGGTGGGTAGTACCATTATTTGATTCCCCACCTAATTGCTTCTTACAATAATTGCATTTAGCCTTGACAATTCCATTAATTCGAACTTTGGTATAGTGTTGCCAAACAACACTCTTAAGCTTACCAACGTCGAGTAATTCCTCGACAACATTACCATTCCCAGCATTGCCATTCTGCTCATTTGTAGTTGCTGCCTGCGGAGTTGGGCTTGTGGCAGTCCCATTTCCAGTAGGTGCAGACAGAACTGGATTTGCACTATTGCCATTATCTTGTGCAGTGGGTTGAACTCCCTCTGTTGACATTGTTCCTGCCGAAAAAACAGAGGAACAAGGATTAGTAGTATATCAAACAACTCCCTCAATCATTAACCAGCACCAATGATCAAAAGTGAAACAAAGAAAGTGGATATTTACCTTGAACAAACAGAGTGAGGCTCGCACGCACAAGGCCACAGACCAAACAAGCAGTAAAAGGATGAGAAGTTAGTCTGAGAACTGAGAAACAGAGTACAGAGATTGAGACTTGAGAGAAGTATGAACAAAAAAATAAACCCCACCTCGTATTTATACTCCAACTTCAATCTCCAGCCGAATCGACTAATCGACTTCACTGCGAGAAATTCTCTTTGCATGCGGCAAGCCATGATCGAAAGGGAAATGATTATCATCATCATGAAGGAAAGCGGATAATCGATGGGAGATATGCGACCGATATGTTAGGGATTCGATGCAGCGGGAGCAATCGGATTGCTAGAATCTAGCCTAGGGTTGGAGGCGGAGAAGAAAATGGGAGAGGAAGAGTTTAGTTGAGGGGAGTAATCTAACCTAGGGTTTCTGATTAGAGGGTATATATATGTACGGGGCGGAGTCGGGGCGGATAGTTTCGAGTCCGAAGCCCGCCCGAAGCCCGTTTCGCTTATTCTCGGGTTAATCCGAGTCCGGCCCGGTGCCCATCATCAACGGATTTTGCCTGATTTTGTCGGGTCGGGTTCGGATCGGATTTTCGGGTTTCGGTTCAATTTGCCAAGCCTACAAACAAGTTATTTGAGGTTTAATGGTTTGATAGGAGTACTACAACCTATAAAAGTCGTTTTATATATTTTTAAATATATATGTAAACAGGGTAGTGATTTAAGATTTTTTTTATTATTGAAATGAAATTTACATGTAGCATTTAGTAATTTTACAGTATCTATATAATTCACTAAAATTATAACCTCAACTCATTGACATTTGGTAGTTCCATGCATTTTTTTCGTCGAATCGAAAATAAGAAAACAGCGTTCCGATCACCTGTTTTCTTGATTTTTACCCGTTTTGATCAACTATCGACAAGCAATATGCCATATTAAAATTTAGCTACTTTCTTTTCCACACTTTAGTTTAGGCTTTGACCAAAAGAAAATCACATAGGAGATATGATCATCAAGTTGAATGAGGAGATGGAGCCGCAGTAGTCATGGCGGCGCCGCCGCCGATGGCCGCACAGAACTTCTCGATGGCCGGGAAGAACTCGGACCTCTGGAAGACCTCGATCTTGCAGTCGTCGGTGAGGTCGACGAAGGCGTGGCAGCAGGCCTTGCCGATGCTGAACACCGATCCGCCTTCAAACGCCTTCACGATCTGAAACACGCACAAGGGAACCTCGATTATCGCTATCCAGCACTTCGCCGCCACTTTCGGCTCCATCGTCCCCCTTCTGCACCTCGGCAATGGCACGGGTGGTGTTGCTCCCGGCCTGGTCGCGTTACTATTAGCGACGGCGGATTGAACCGTTGCTGCTGAAGAGGCTAGCACCGTCGTCGTCAGGAGAATGGAAGCCACGATCATGATCATGATCATTCTCCGGCATTGCATGCCCATGTCGCTAGCTAGACTGTTGTACTGGTGATGAACAGTATAGGCGGCTGATGGTTTGGGAGATTGTGATGTGGAAAATGAGATATACAGATCGTATTTTGTGAGTGTATTTATAGAAACTATATATATGCAATCGATCTCCATTGTGTTTCATTTCTTTGTCTTCGTGGTGGTGGGAATGGTTGGATTGAATAAAACGTTGTTTTTTTTTTTTATATGATGGAGTAGATGTTCACTAAGAAATTGATTTTTTGAAGGCTAATTTGATTTGGGTATTTATCTGACCGTATTTAACTTGGTTGTAACATAATGACAGTACTCTTATGGCATGGGATGGGATGTATCTTATGGTTGAATCTTGGTCTATTTTTTATCCAAACCTTTTTTAGATTCTTTTATATCATCCAAACCTGTGAAAATGCTATTAATTATCCAAATCTTTCGTAATGCATCAAAATATTAGCCATTTTTACGTCATTATTAATAATTTTGTAATTCTTTTGTTAGTTAAAATACTAAATTTTTGGAATGTTGACCTTCATGTGTCTCTTCCAAGTCAGTATCATATTGCCAAGTCATTATTACTAACAAAATTGCTAATTGGAAGTTAACATTTGGCTAATTCTTAGTATTTCGATAGGTTTGGATAATATTAAAAAAATGAAAAATATTTAGATAATAAATAGACATTACCCTTGAATCTTACAATAAAGATCATTTCCTTATTAGAATTTGAAATTTTGTACAATTGATTTCAATGTAACCTCGTGCTCGAATTATTTGTTAGTATACTACAAGAAAATAGGGATTTTATGTCGGTTATTTTATATGCTTTGTGTCGGTTTAATGAAACCGACACAACACAACCAAACATAAAACACTATTTTTTTTTTTTTTTTTGTAGTGGCATGCACTAAGGGTTGTTTAGATCGAACTCTTGAACTTTCAGCAGAATCAAAGATTATGATACCATAGCAAAAAATTAGCTCATTGATTCTAACAGAGCCATGAGTACGTGGAACTCAGAAGCAGGTGGTGTCAAGTTTCTTAGTTGAATAATGTTTTACTTAAATTGCTTGTTTCAATTGGTACTTCTTCATCAATAATTACTCAAAATTAATGTATTTCAATAACTTGAGTAGTTTTCAGAGATCAGTATTTGTTCTCCAGATCGAATGTGCATTAGAAGAATGATAAGGCTAGCGAGAACAAACATTGCGCAATATTCGATTACCAAACCCCTCGGATATACATGTACTATATCAAATCTTTAGTCTATTTTATTCCCATCAAGTTACAGATGAATTAGAAAACATGCATTTCTTTCCCAATTTATTCCTCCGAAACTAAACCCCTGAAAGAAAACAAACAGCATCCATGATACCATGACTAATTAAAAGTTAATAATCAACGAGGTGTGAGACCTAGAGAGCTAGAGATACAATCATCAAGCGGAACGAGGAGGACTGCCGCCGCCGCCGGTGATGGCAGCACAGAAGCTCTCAATGACGGGCAGGAACTTCAAGTTCTGGAACACCTTGATCTTGCAGTCGTCAGTCAGCGACAGGAAGGCCTTGCAGCAAGGCTTGCCTAACCCGAAGATGGCTCCGACGTCACCCATCACCACTTTGGCTATGTCGCCGACGCAGCTGGGGACCTTGAAGATTGCCCCCCAGCACCCCATCGACAGCTCTGGCTCCACCACCTTTGTCGTCGACGACACTGCTGCTGTGGTTTCAGTAGTAGAGTGCAGATCAGCGACGGCCGAATCGATCGTCGCTGAAGAGGATAGCACTACGGCGGCCACCAAAAGGATGGAAGTCATGATTCCCCTGAATTGCATGGCCATTTTAGAGATATAGCTAAGGAGCAATAATACTGCTTATCTAATGGTGTTCTAGGTTATGTTAACTTGATGGTGAATTGGTGATCGCTGTGGAGACAAGGGATTCTATTTATATATAACATGGAATATATTGATCGGTATCACGATATATGGGTATCATATATATTTTATATTTACTTTGAGGAATCAAGGTTTGATTTGCTTAATCTTTTCATCACCTGCTGATCGATACCTGTTTTGATGGGACAATGTATCATATCATCAGGCATTGAAGTTTGTAAGCAAATTAAATGGGGTTTAATTTCTGATTGATTCTTTGTGTGGTCGATGGGGAAAGCAATTATCTCAGAATCATGCATGATAATTAAGAATATTTGGGGGAAGTTAATTATTTATGAGCTACACTCATTTCTGAGTGAATGGTAGACCATTTATATTTGAATAGGTTGATAATAAGTCGCTTAGTTGATGAAGTTATTATAATTGTACCACAGTCGTCGCTGGCTCAAACATAAAACTAGGATACACCTATATATATAATTTTCTGGACTATGCACTTTTAGGTCGACCTCATATAAGATTAGGTCGACCTAATCTGCACTTTTAGGTCGACCTTATATAGCATTAGGTCGACCGAATATGCCGTTTCAGTTTTATGAGGTTCAACGATGTGGTTGACGTTTTATAGCAAATTGTCAACCTCTTCGGGAAGTGAACAGAATGAAAGATCGAACCAAACAAATACCTCATAGGCCGACCATTTTGATTAACTGAGGTCGATCGCATAAGTACGAGGTCGACTGTCCTAAATATCTACCAAAAATGGGTCATTGAATCTCATAAAACTGAAACGGCATATTAGGTCGACCTAATCCTGTATAAGGTCGACCTAAAAGTGCATATTAGGTCGACCTAAAAGTGCAAGTTACGGTAACATGCATGTCACCATAGGCATACCCCTAATTTTCTTGTCATTAAGAATGACAATGGAGTCGGAACGAGGAACTTACCCATACCGACCCACGTCAGACATGGCTCATCAGCAATATCGGGTACAAAACTTATCAATTACAGATAAGATTCGCGCTTTTACCTTACTCTACGAATTAATTACGAGGTAGGTAATATTCGACCCGAAACCCTACCCGCGATGAACAGTCCTCAGATCTCCTATACATGAAATGAGGTATATACATTGAGACCTAAAATTTGATTCTTTATTAGTTGGAAAACCGGATCCCTAATGTGTTGTGTTGCAAAAACCTTGTAAATATACAAAACAAAGTTAGCATTCGATTCAATGCCTTCCTTCTCTAAAACAGCAATCAAAGTTGTTTTTTCCCCCCTCTTATTTCTACATGGTTCTTGTCCCCAATTTTTTAACACAATTATTGTCCTTATTCGGACCCTCCCTTTATCAATAACTCCTTAACGTGATCGCAGTGTACCAAAATACCAGTAATTCTGCACCAACTAGCTACAGCCACCATACTGTCAAAAAAAAAAAAAAAAAGCTACAGCCGACCACCACGTACATATATAAATTCAGACACACGATCACTAATTCTCCAATCATCAAGCCATAACCGATTAACCATATTTGTATAGCTGTTGCCGCCATCGTCAATATTCTTACTTAATTACCAACTACATGGAGATGCAGTTCAGGGTAACGATGAAGGCAGCTTCCTTTCTTCTTCTGGTGGCAATAGCGTTGCTGCTGTCCTCTTTAGCGACGACAAATGGCGCCGTGGCTGATAATATCGAGTCGTCGCCGAGGGCGACAACGTGCAGGCGCGGGGAGCTGCCGACGAAGCTGGCGATGGTGTGTTGGAAGGCGATCTTCGAGGTGCCCTTCTGCGTCTTCGAGATAGTCAAGGTTTACGAAGGCGGGTCGGTGTTCGACATCGGCAAGCCTTGTTGCCGGGCGTTCGTCGACCTCTCCGACGACTGCAGGATCGAGGTTTTCCAGCATTCCAAGTTTTTCCCTGTGATCGAGGGATTCTGTAAAGCCGTTATCGGCGCCGGACCTATCGGCGGCGGTAGCGGTGTCGTCCGAGCTCCGCCTCCTCATCACCACCATCATCATTCCGGCTGATCATAATGTAACATTCAACGTTGATAATATTAAACTGTAAAAAAAAAAAAAAAGGAGACAGACGTGCTTCGTAAATAAAATAATAAAATTGAATATTCAAAATTGGTGGGTCTGGAATACGCGAGTTGTGGGCTTCTGGCCCAGTGGTGTTCTTTTCTGATTTGATGTTGGGCCTTTTCCAAGCACGACCACGGGACCACAGGTTTGGGCCCATTCATCAATTGGGCGAGTTGACTAGTGTTCTTGTCTAAAAATCACAGAAAATAGGATTCGTTTGTTATCCACTGATCCTCATCAGAGCAATAAATGGCCACCAACTCACCATATAAACTTTGCCCAAATGGCCAAATCTTGAAGATCTCTGCCGTCCTGTTTCAGAGGCAGAGAGCACTGGGTTATTTTGGATCAAGAAGAAGAAGAAGAAGAAGAAGAAGACAAGATGGAAGCTGCAGCAGGAGGGAGGTGCTTACAGTACCACTCAGCAAAGCCATCTCTTGTTGCTGCTGCAACAGCTTCTGCTTCTTCTTCTTCATCAATCCCTCTCAAAACCAGCAGCAGCTTCTTGAAAGGGCTTAGGATAAAAGGAAGGAACCAGCTGCCGCGGAAGCAGAGCACTAGTACTGGGTTCCCTCGTGTAGTAGTTCAAGCTTCTTCAGCAGCTGAAACCACATCATCCACTACAACTTCTGCTGTTCAAGAAAGATGGATTCTTGTTCCAGTTGGTCAGTCTCCTCGCCCCCACTTCTCTATCTTCTCTTACTGAGATATTGTCCCTGAAGAAACAGAGGATAATGTTGTTGTTGTTGTTGTTGCAGGAGATGGAGACACGAGGCACATTGGATTTGAGGTTAAGATGCCCGGCGCCTTCGAAATTGCCTCAGTAAGTCGTAGTAGAAGTAACCCTTTTTCTCTCCTGCATTCAACTTTCACATTCTGCCCTTGATGAATTGGAAGGTAAAGGGGGGGAAAGAAAAAAATTTCAATTCATGAATTTTGTTGTGGGCAGAATGAGGTGACAGTTGGGCGTGTTCCTGAGAAAGCTAACATGGTCATCCCGGTTGCTACAGGTAAGTAGCTACAACCACTGAAAAATTGGCCCTAAACAAGAATTTTACTAAGAACGGAACAGATAATTGAGAGATGTGAATGGAATTCATTGGTTGATTAAAAAAACACAGTGTCTGGAGTGCACGCTAGGATCCAGAAGAAAGGAGGGAACCTTTTGGTGACGGATTTGGACAGCACCAACGGCACTTTCATCGGCGACAAGCGCCTCCGGCCTGGCGTTGCTTCCACTCTCGTTTCTGGCAATGTCGTCATTTTTGGTACATTCTTGATGATACTATCTCTCGCCAGGTTGTTTCGTCGGTTAATGACTTGGAAAATGAATCTTGTATCATTCTCTTAATACTTGAACAAATTCGGTGCAGGGGACATTCATCTCGCGATGTTTCGAGCTTCGAAATTGGAGAACGTGGAAGTTGCTGCTTCCAATGGCTCGTCAACCGAGGAAGGAGAAGCAACGACAGAGACCGAGAAGTCGACAGAATCCACTAGTAGTTAGTTAGAAGGAAAAAAATGATACAAGTCGTGCTACTGGTTGGTTAATGATGGTCATGGTTCATTTCGGTTCAAGAATTGTATCAAAGTTGAAATGAATCAAATTATTACTACATTCGTTTCAATCTGGTATGATTATGATGTAGTCGGCTTATTACTTTACTTTCAATCACATAGAAACAAAAACGAAAAATCCTACACTTGATAACCGAAAGGAAATCAAACTGGTTCGATCGAAGTCCCGATTCCAAGTACAATGCATTAGTAAGAATTACTGTGAATGTCTTCATTAGCTTGCAATCAAAGCAAGGTAAGTGTCATTACCTTGCCTAAGAAGTCATACTTTTGCGACATCTTCTTTGGGCCTACGCCAAGCCTCGCAGGCCCAATAAATGGTCCATCTATTAACCTTCCTTGCCGGCCCGGTAGTTCCTATTGGTGCTCATTTCAACGACTGCGAGCTGAATCACCACTTTTCACCATTTCCCTCACCAATCGGAATTCTACCTTTTCCCCTCTCCGATGGACGCCTTGCAGTCCCGCCGAATCGAAGCGATAAGTATCGCCGTCGCCGTGGTTGCCATCGGCGCCGGCACTGCCTACTATCTCTACATCACCAGGAAACCCAAACCGAAAGGTGAAAGGTCCTTCCTTTTTTTCACCCATCCTTCTTTTTGTCTGTAAACGAATTCATGTATGATCGTCGACCGTGGTCGAGACTTTCTGTCGCTTTTGTGTTGATGCTATTGAGTGGAAACGGATCCATGGTGGGTATGCATTGTATTTCGCATTCTTGCATTTCGCATCAGACTCCGCGAGAGATTTTTTTCAGGGTACCAAATGTTTCCTTTTGCCGTACCATTGGTGTGATATTTGGTTTCTGAATGGTTTGGGAAGCGTCGTTGCTAGTATGCTTTCTGCTGACACAATGCCTTTTCTTGGGCTGCAGCCTGCCTTGATCCTGACAACTTCAAGGAATTCAAGCTTGTTAAGCGCACCCAACTCAGCCATAATGTGGCCAAGTTTCGGTTTGAGCTCCCGACACCTGACTCGGTTCTGGGATTGCCAATTGGACAGCATATGAGTTGCAGGTGTGTTTAGTTTCTGATCTAACTTTGTATTTGATTTCCCTACACAAGTGATGAGTTGTTCTATTAGGTAAGTGGTGGGTGTTAAATATCAGTATACCGTATGTTTGATAAACTACAAATTGTGTGTACAAATAGGGGAAAGGACAGTGTGGGAGAAGATGTTGTGAAGCCATATACTCCCACAACTTTGGACTCTGATGTTGGCTACTTTGAATTGGTTATAAAGGTTGTCTCTAACTTGGGAGGATTTTTTAAGGCTTTGCTTCATTGGCATTGTCTTTGTTCTGTATTCAGTTCCTGATTCTAGAGTCGTATGAACAACAGATGTATCCACAAGGACGAATGTCTCACCACTTCCGGGAGCTGCAGGAAGGTGATTACTTGGCTGTGAAAGGGCCTAAGGTAAATGATCTTTCCATTCAGTGCCTGGCATGGATTCGTCTTTAATATGTTGCTTAGCTTATCCCATTGATTAAGCTATAACCTAATAATCAAGTCTCATCCTGGTATAAGTATTGCAATTTTGTACGTGGTTGCATTTTCAGTATGAAGCGAGAAGTTGCTCTTTGCATTCTGGTAGAAGAATCACTACTTAAACTCATAATAGCATGGGGTCTCTAACCAACATCACCAGAACTTATTTATTTGCTCATTACGTTTAAGGCCATGCCTTTGATGTATTGATAGTGAACATAAAAGGTTTCAACATTCTTGAACATTCAGGGGCGCTTCAAATATCAACCCAACCAAGTGAAAGCATTCGGAATGCTAGCTGGTGGCACTGGCATTACTCCAATGTTCCAAGTATGCATTTCAAGACTCCTTCTGATTCTCAAATCATGTGGATTGTTGAAGGCCTGGACTCTTATTGCTCAATGTTTTGTCTAATTTCCAAAGGTTGCCAGAGCCATAATGGAGAACTCGAAGGACAAAACCAACGTAAGCCTCATATATGCCAACGTCACGTTTGAGGACATCCTTCTGAAGGTACTCCTCTCTTCTGCTCACCATTATTCAGTCCAGTCACTTTTACAAGTTGCATGTCTATTTTGGACTGTATCTTATTTCTCCATTTGCAGGAAGAGCTTGATAATCTTGCCAAAAGTTTCCCTGGCCGCTTCAAAGTGTACTATGTTCTGAACCAGGTACTTACCCCTGTGAAGTTATCTGTATGCTTTCTTGTGTCATTATCATGTTCTTTCAGAACTATTATTTTCACCTTCATACACCTCACCGCAAATGAAGCTTAGTTATATGGATATCCCTCTCCTGTGTTCTTCCTCACATCAATCTGAATCCCCGTTCGCAGCCACCAGAAGGATGGGATGGTGGCGTCGGATATGTAACTGCAGATATGATAAAAGAACACTGCCCCCCACCAACAGCAGATGTTCAGGTGATTTGCCTCCCCATCACAATTCCCTTTCTTTTCACCATTTCAGCTTAATAAACCGGTTTCTCATTGTTCCGAACTTGTAGATGTTGAGGTGTGGCCCTCCACCAATGAACAAGGCCATGGCAGCTCACCTGGACGCTCTTGGATTCACTCCCCAAATGCAGTTCCAGTTTTGACAGAAGCTTGCTGTTGGAGATCGGCTTTTCTTCTGGTTACACACACCACAGAACAATTGATTGACTACCAGGGAGAGACGCAACGACTTATTTCATCTGTTGGCATATGAGACCAGTTGCAGAACTTTTAAACAGATGCAGCTGATTATTATACTATGATTAGGGTGCTGCCTACTATTAATCCCCACTTCAAAACTAGATTAAACACATTTTTAGAACTTAAATTATACCCCAATGTACCATGTAACGCGATACAGATATGTTGCTGCCTACTGATTATGTATGCAGACAAATTGTTCTGACTTTTAATGCACATCATCGATCATATGATCAAGGTTAAAAGACGAATCAGTTAAAGCAAAGCTCGTGACCAAAAAAGGACTACTGCTAACACTTGAATACTGGACAACGCCAAAACTTCAAATCAGTAAACTTGAGTCAGTTCAGAATAGGGTAAATGACACATTTGGTCACTGAGATTATTAAATTGTGTCATGTTTAGTCACTAGAAAAAATTAATATCAATTTTGGTCACTCGAATTACCGAAACTGGTCAAATTTAGTCACTCTCCCGTCAGTTTCCGTCCAACTCCATTAATGTACTTGGACGGAAACTTTTGGGAGAGTGACTAAATGTGACATGTTTCATTAATCCGAATGACTAAATGTGACATTTTTCAATAATTTGAGTGACCGGAGTTGGACAGAGGCTACAGAAGAGTGACCAAATGTGACATGTTTCAGTAATTCGAATGACCAAAATTGATATTAAATTTTTCTAGTGACTAAATATGACACGATTTAGTAATCTCACTGACCAAATGTGTCATTTACCCGTTCAGAATACATCAGAAGCAAAAATCAGGTGACATCAAATCTGGCAGAAAAGGTGAAGAAAACAAGCTGGCGATGCAGCCACTTAGGTTTATGGTATGTTAATCCCTAGCACAATGATACAAACTGGAAGCCTGCTGCTAATGGATGAAGAAACTAGTACACAACAAAAAGAAAGGAAAACAAGGAACAAAATCCATCTGGGATACTCCTGCAGTGAATTGCAAGCTAATCATCGCCTTCTCATTCCCCTTCCCCTACCTCCTCGCATAGCTCCTCCACGGCCTCGACCACCCATCATAGCAGCATCTCCTTGAGCACTCTCAGACTGCAGCAACAAACACGAGAACCGAAAACAGCATTCAGTGCTTACACTTGTGACAAAATTTTGCTCTATCCATCACCAAAAATGCACTAATTGCTTGAAAATTTGACTGTAAGGGGTTCAAAGAAAGATCAGTTAACATTTTCACCTTTGGGTTCTTGACAGTCTCATCGACACTTAGAACAAGACAAGCAGCCTCGGTAGCAGCATTAATAGCATTAATCTGCAACAAAGCATCGTGAGCAAGGTACACATGTCAGCACATAGGTTGTGAAAAAACATATATGAAACAACCGTCACAAGTAAATAGCGTAGAAGAACTCGCCTTGACTACAGCTGGCTCCCAGACAAAGTTTGCAAATGAGTCAGCAATGCCGCCAGTGTTGATGTCCACCCCATAAGGAGCGCCCTCACCTATAGAAACCCCAAAAAATGTTAACAGTCATGTTGTTTGCATAGAATTAAGGTCAGGAAGCAAGCATAATGTAATTCATTACACCAAAGTAGAGCCTACCAGATGCATGGGCATGCTTCTGTCTCAACTTGTTCAGCACATCAGTAGCGTCAAACCCCGCGTTGTCGCAAAGTTGTCGAGGGATAATCTACAAAAGGAAAATGTTAAGCCATTAGCAGGTCTACATCGTTGTGGACACGCAATAAATAGACATCAAAATTTTGATAGAACTTTCTAATGAAATACTAGACCCTTACACAAGACTCTTTTACTTCCAACAATTAAGGGGTCCAACAAGTAAGCCTCAGGAAGTCGTTGTAGCAAGAATATATTTTTCTTACTCAATACCTTTCTCATTTAATTAAAAGCCCATCTTTAGCTCAACAAGATCCAGCTCTGGTATGAGTAGGAACATGAGGACCCTCACAGTTGAAGGTTATACAGTAAAGGATCTAGCAGCATACTCCATTGTCATGTTTCTCTTAAAAGTTAAAACTACTGATTTGAAAAGGATAGAAGTTGACCCCGGAGAAGATTAAAACATGAACATAAGACATGACTGCCTACACCTTCTGAACTCCATAGGATGAAGACTGAATATCTCAAACCTACCTCCAGAGCTTTGGCATATGAGTTTATGAAAAGCTGGGACTTCCCAGAAATGCTTCGAGCATGCTGCCTCAGGTAGCGGCTTATCTCCATCTGAAATAAAAACAGGATGTTACATCCTTAAGACATTAACAAACAAGCACATGCAGAACACTGATGAAATGAGTTACAATAAGCTCCATACATCTATAGCACCACCACCAGCCACCACTGTTGAGTTCTTCAGAGCCCTTCGTACTATCATGATTGCATCATGTAAACTCCTTTCAGCTTCCTCAATGAACTGAGAATATGAATGAACAAAGGATAGGCGTCCAAGAAAACTGAGTCCCAAAATAAGAAAAAGCTGAATAACATAACATAATCCATTGCACCAACAATTTATAACCTGATCAGCACCACCACGCAGAACTATTGTTGCGGTTCTTCCGGAAGGACATCCACTGAATATATTAAATCGCTCATTTCCAACTTGCTTTTCTTCGAACACCTCACAAGTCCCTAGAACCTAGCACCAGAAGAATCACTCAGTTGCTTACCAAGGACAAGCTAAATATTTTTATATGTATCCATGTGTGTATTTGCAGCGATTAAAGTTAATGCTATGATTCCGAGAATACAGCATACAAGTTCTTACCTCATCAATCACATTGTTGACGGTAGTTTGTACAGTTCCACCAGTGGCTGCAGCAACCCTCTGAAGATCCTCTTCAGCTACACGTCCAGCACAGAAGATATCCCGGTCGGCGAAGTACTGAACGAGGAGTTTATTAACGATGAAGTTAAACCAGAGAAAGGAATAGGAGAGCAATTTCGTAAGATATTAGATACAACCAGAATTCAACTGGTTATGAACTCATGATATCTCAACATAAAAACAAAATTTAAGCTCATTGGCGAAGACAATTACAAGGATCCAGATATTATAGCCACAAACACTGGTTTTAAAAGAAAGAACAATAACTATCCAGATACATGTCAAAAGAACAAGGATTTACAGTTGAGAAGTATGTTTTCAACAGAAAATTACTGACAAAGAAAGACACCATTAAAATAATGTAAAGAATATTAAATCCCACCTGTGTTGCTAGATCACCAATAGCTAAACGTGAGAGGACAACTTTGGCACCACTTTGTACACATTTATCCAATTTTTCATATATGATATTCCACTCCGCATCAACAATCGACTGATACTGTGATGGATCTGAGAGCCTGTAGCAAATGACGAAAGATCAGACTCACAAGTCATATATATCAAATTCTATCGCCAATCAAATAAAAATAAAAAACAGGACAATTATGCAAGAAGAATCAACCTTATCTCTGCATTTTCTTTCTCCGATTTCAGCTCCAATTCAATGTTGAGTAACAAGATCTTTGGATTCAGAAACTTCTTTGGTTGCTGTTCAAAACCAGCATAAGAAAATGTCTTCTTAAATGCAACACCATCAACTAGAAATGAGTCGCGCATATTACCACCTGGAACCTGTAACATAAAGACATATATAAACACAATGAGGAGCCAGAGCAAAATATAGGGACAGAAAATAATGGTTTAAATTCAATCCTGAACCACACCAATAATACAAGCCTGATATGCGGCAATGCCGAACGAAAAGTTGGCTATTCCTCATCACTTGGTAGTCAAAAAAAGCCAACACGTTTGTTGAATTTGAACCAAGTATGATTCTTGTATAACATTTCAGCTTGTAAGACAGGGGAAGAGAATAAGTAACCCAGATACACAAGAAGAATTCCCATGATGCATAGGTCACAGATTTCACATCATATAATGAACCCTCATAAAATTTGCAGAACAACACATATTTCTCCATTTTCTTCTCTTTATATATCGTATATAGATGGAAGGGCATAGACTTCAACAGTCAGCTACAGGCTATATCATAAAACTAGTATGAGCTTTATAGCAGATAACAGCTATTCAGTTAAACATCATCTTTAAATAGGACCTTTTCAGTGTTGCTCTTCACTCTGTGTTCGTGATATAGAACCCAATAATTCATTTGCATTACAAACTCATCAAGGTAAGTCAAGCCCTAGCACTTACCTTCTTAATTCCAATCATATTTAGCCTATCATCAGTTCCAATTGCAATGACAGCATTCACAACCATCGTTGCAAAGAATTCTTTCTCTCCACCTATGAGCTTCGAATTCAGTGTTGTTTGTGCGCATTTGGAAAGTAAGCTTTTCTTTTCTTCCAGACTCTTCCCTTCTATGCTGGTCGCTAAACCTTTGACCTTGTCGATGGCCTATCATTTTAAACAGCTAAGTGAGTTGGGATACAAAGATTAGCATCGAAAGGTTGATAGAAGATAGAATAATATTTGATATCACGCACCAAATTGCAGGCAATTCTATAACTACGTATCAGATTTTGTGGGTGGACTCCATCTTCGATAAAAGGTTTGGCCTCCCTTAAAAATTCTGCGGCCAAAAGAACTACTGTTGTGGTCCCATCACCAACCTGGAGTACAAAGAAACAAAAAGGATCAGTAAAGTTGCCAGTTAAAACATCGACAACCACATTAGCTGGACAAAAAACCTTGTTCTGATACAAGCTCAGCAAAACCAACACCAAATTGGTTTGTACTTTTCCATGGAAGATAAATAGCTCATCAATCTATTTATGCAATCAAGCTCTGTAATAGAAATATATTAACTTTCTGCACCTATCACTATAAGCCGCACCTGAAACCATTGCACCTAGTACGCCAAATCACTAACAGAAACCCTCAGGCTAAAAGACAGAAGATTGACGCATTCTATAGAGAGAAAGTATACCCACCTTGTCTGTCTATGCATAAGACCATTCAGAGGAACAGGGAGAAAAATCTTACAACGAGCACTCTCAATATATCTATCATAAGCTTAAGATTCCTTCCCTGTTTTTGTCACTAGCAAAGCCACAGAAACACATAAATCACTATACTAGTCCTTCTCTAATCCATGATTCAAAACCCTCAAAACAACAATGTCCCATCAGTTCAAAGTGTTTCATGTTCTAATACTACCTAAACTTGCACAAAGGGAGCAAATTTAACGTCCCGCTCCACTTCCATACAGCATCAAAACAACCCTATTCGCATCGTAACATGACATAGTTTCACATCTCAACCCAAAAGAAAAACAGAGAAAGCAAAGCAAAAAGAGCACCTCGGAATCCTGGGACTTGGCGATGTCTACGAGGATCTTAGCAGCAGGATGGACGATATCAAGCAGCTTCATGATAGTAGCTCCATCGTTCGAGATGGTGACGCTCCCATTGGCATCGTGGATCAGCTTGTCCATCCCTCTGGGGCCGAGGGTCGTCCTGACTACATCGGCGACCGCGGTACATGCGTTGATGTTGCTGACGAGCTGCGCCTTCCCTTGGGAAGTGTCCGTGCCTTCTTTCAAGAGTATGATCTGCGGTTGCTGCTCATCGCCATTTCAACACAAAACGGAGATGCAGAGGGAACAGTGTCAGTAAGCTCGGCGGTGCGAAGATTTGGGGGGGGAATACGAGAAGTTGAGAATGGGAAGGAGATGCTTACCATCATGGACGCCATTGCTGACGCGGACTAGGGTTGCGATGAACGGAACTGGAGACCGCGAATGAAGTGTGGGAAAGGCGAGGAAGACAGTACGGAGGAAGAAATGGCTACTTTTAGGGTTTTCGCGCTGCCGCAGTGCCGCGTGCTCTGCTCAGTGAGTTTTGGTTCCTTCTTCTTTCGACTTGTTTAGTGGTTGTGTCGTCAATCGTCATAGTAAATCGGTTTAAACTCCTGTTTTATACAGTTAGAGTCCCTCAAATTTTCTGATTTGATGATATTTTTCATATTATTACACTTATTAAACATATAAATCATGAATTAAAATTTTTTAAACATGATGAATAAAATTTCATCCATATCAATGGTAATTCACTCATGTTAATTTGTTAATATTAAATACATATTAACAATTGACATAATTGATGTAGATTTTACTAACTATGGTTGGGATAGGGGTGTGACATGGTTCGTTCTGATTTATAATTGAACACAATCAAGAATAGATCAAACAAAAAATTCACATTAAGACATAGAGTTGATCTAAAGTACAACTAGTATGGTACAGTTTAAAAAACTCATAAAACGAAATCCAATTATATTGTATTTGATTCCCCATAGTCAATCGCAATATCGATTTGATTTGGTTTGACTTAGTATGATCGAATTGTTGCCTAATCTAAGTTATAAGAAAGACTATTTAGACCGAGACAATCTAGATATATAGAACCAAGTAGAAATAGATCAGATCAACACTTTTCCTTCGAATTTGATTCCATTTTTTCCGATCCAATTCAATCAGAATCTATGATTAGTTAGCTTGTACAAGTTACATTGACACTAATATATCAACTAGTTCAGATTTCTGTACACAATCACGAAAACGATGAACTTGTATCCACGTCGACAAGATACAAAGAGGCAACCACAGGATCTTATGTTGCAGACAAGTAGAGCTTCTCGTCCAGATTATCAAACGAGAAGAAACCTGCCGGTGGCCGTCGCATGGCCGTGGCTTGCTCGAAGGCGTAAGCAACCTCGATGAGCTTCGCCTCCGTGCCTTTCAGCCCTCCAAACACAACCCCAAATGGCTTGCCATTGCTATCATACCCAGCCGGCACAGAGATCCCAGGATACCCTCCAATGGCCAGCACTGCAGTCACATCGGAGCCGAATGTAACCATGGCGTCCAGCTCGTTTCGCCGCATCAGTTCCTCGAAGCCTCGCCGCGACAAGTCCTCCATCAGCTGCACAGCCTCCATCTCCTTCTCCCCCATCCCATTCGTCTTCTCCGCTTCGACGAACATGTCCTGACCGTACTCCTTCATGTGTTCCTGTCCCATGTAAAGCGAACTGCATAAGCTTCATTCCTAACAATTTATGGGGGTAGAGAAAAGGGCAACATACCAAATCCGAATTGTTGACATTGAAGGCAATCACATCTGCTAGAGACCTAACAGGCGACTTGACAAGTTCCTGGAGGTACTGATTGACTGCAACTTTAAACTCTGCCATCATCACCTTGATTTCCCCGGTTTCGAATGGTTGCAGGATCAAATCCACATTAGCAATCTCCAGATTGTCTACCACCGTTGCACCTCCTTGCCTGAACACTTCCAAGTGGCTGTTGAATGTCGTTAAGACGGTAGAATCATCGACAGAGTCCATGAATGGGGTTCTCACAATGCCTAGCCTCTTCCCTTTCAGCCCATCAGCTCTCAAGAACTGTTTGTACCCACCAGAGGGTATGAACTCGGATGCTTCCTTTGTTGCTTTGTAGTCTCTTGGATCCACTCCAACAATTGCATCAAAAACATACACTGCATCAGACACTGTCCTGCATATCGGCCTGCAATTTCTTCTTGTGAATTATCTTCAGAAGAAATACTAAATCAGAGATTTTGGTGATGAGGGTTTTTTCTAATTTTTACCCGATGGTGTCCCAACGAGGCGAGACCGGTACCACGCCGGCCCGGCTGGTGAGTCCGACGGTGGGTTTGAACCCAACGACGGAGTTGTGATCGGATGGGCAGAGGATGGAAGAATGAGTCTCCGTCCCAATCGCCACAGCCGCCATGTTCGCCGCCACTGAGATCGCCGGCCCGCTGCTCGACCCACATGGATCAGCCCCTTTCACATAGGGATTCTGCGGAAGGCCGCCTCTGGCGCACCAGCCGTTGGGCATTCGGAAGGATCGAAACCGGTACCACTCGCTCATGCTCGCCTTCCCCAAGATCACCGCTCCGGCGTTCCTCAGCCGGTCGACGACTCCAGCTTCACGCGCCACCTCCGAACCCAGCAGCGCGTAAGACCCACACGTCGTGTTCAGCTTGTCCTTCGTCCCTATCCCGTCCTTGAGCAGAATCGGAATCCCGTGGAGACCTCCCAATCGTCCCTGATTCTCCGATCTCTCCAGATCGGCCTTCGCTGCTTGGTCCAGCGCGTCGGGATTCACTTCCAGTACGCTCCGGAGGGAAGGATTCAGCTCGGCGATTCGATCCAAGTAGAAGCTGACTAGGTCTTTCGAGGTGAGCTGGTTTCCGGCGAATGCTGCCTGGATCTGGTCGATGGTGGCTTCCTCCATCGAGAAATTCCCGCCGCCGTCGTCTATTGCATTGGAGACGACCGCCGCGACGGTTATGAGCAGCAAAGCAATTGCTCTCGTCGCCGTCGCCATCAATGGTTGCTTGGAAGTTCGGAGGTCAACTCTCCGTCCGGGAGAAAATGGCGCCGTTAGAATGACACCATTTAATTAGTTTTCGGGCCGGGGCAAAGAGAAGTTGCTTAGACGTTAAACCTAACGTGGCGTTTAGAGTTACCGTCATTTTCACAAAGAAGTACCTATACTATAATTATTGACAGAACAAGCCCACATACAATGTCACCGTTGATAAACTAGTCCTTCCATTGACCATTCATAATTCTGTCAGCCCGTTCCAATAATGGTTAACAAAGCAGCAGAAAAGCCAATGAAGAAAGCACATAACCACACAAGAATCACACAGAAAAACCTGCAGAAAACATCCTGAAATTTGGCAGCAGGATTTCATTGATCAGCAAATGGATCAAGCGGACACAGCAAATCTACCCCTATATAGATCTCTACTGTGCCTATATACCCATGAACTATACTGTAAGTGAAGCCATGTTGACTTCCCAATACATCCAATCATAACATCTTAACAGAACTTGTAACTACAAATCAGAAAATGAGTGCATAAAAAACAAGGTCATGCCTAAAAATGGTCTCAATGGACTTGCTGTAGCATCAGACCAGATAGCTGGTCTAAGCCTTCAGCTTCCCGCTCACCCCACGCTTACTATGCCACACACCATTGCGATCAGCATTCACCGAGTTCTTGCTAGCCGCAACTAAACACTGACCAGCTCGACCACTCTTACTCCCCATCTCGGCCTGGATCTTGCGACGATGCATCCTTTGCTCAGACCGCATCCCTCTCAGTGCACGGACCCTCCGTTCTTTCTCCAGTGCTTCGGAGAAGTTCCAGATCCTGACCACACCCTCTTCTCCTCCGCAGACAATGCGGTCAGCACCAATGTCAACTGCAAACAGGTCCGGCCCAAATCCGTGCAACATCCTCTGTGGAGGCTCCACAATGCTGCTCTCCACCATCTTTCTCGCCCTTGAAGAGCATTTGGCCCGTTTCGCCAGTCTCAGCAGTTTCCTCACGTCGATGAGCGCCATTTTCCCATCACCAGAAGATGAGACGAGCCAAGGGAACTCGAATGCCAGAGAGTAAACCGGACCAGAGTGAGCAACCCATGAAGCGATTTTGGACGAGTCGGTATTACCCATCTCAAACATGTGTATTGCCCCATCTTCTCCTCCGGTGAAAAGAAGGTCCCCCGTGTGACTTCGAGCTAGAGCATAAACATTCCCAGCATGAGCCTGAGCAATAACATTTAATAAAGTCCCTCGACGAGCATCCCATACATATACATCTGAACCGGATGCAGCTGCAATTGTGGTACCTTGAGGAACAAGGCTCCAAACCCAGTCTCCATGACTCAAGACCTGCAAGCATTTCAGGGAAGATCGATCCCATACACGAATGGTCATGTCCCATGAACCGCTATAGATTTTTGTGGGGTCCAAAGCGAGACAAGTAATGGGACCGACATGCTCCCAAAGCCTGAACTCGGATGTGGAATCCTTGAGGTCGAACAAGTGTGGAAGGCCTTCAACTGCCCTCCAGCATTGGATGAATCCATCAGTACCACCGGCAACCAGTAGTTTCGAATCAGCCGAAACTGCTCGAATGGTGCATCCAAGGGAGCGGGATGAAGCGATTGACAGGCAGCTCTCCATGGCCCACATCTGTACAACTGAGTCATAGCCAGAGGTGAAAATGAGCTTGGCGGAAGCCAACAGGAAAACTGTCCTAACAGCTTCCTTGTGACCGTACAGAACATCGATGCTATAACGCCCCAAGAACGTTCTACTCCTAAACTCCCTCTCCACAAAGAGCTCCTTCCAGTTCTTCTCATCGGAAAGCGCTACTACACCAGCAGATGGATGGAGGACTAAAGGAAGTCCCCATCTTTCACAGTATACTTCCTTCCAAACAGGATTCTCAGCAGCTAGCCTGTTCAATACCGTCGAGACGCAGGAAACCACACCAAGCTCCTTAGGGTCCAAGCAGTTCAGGATTTCAGATATCAATGCAGGAGGAAGGTCGATGATTGAGCGACGAAAACCGTGCAGAACATCATCATCGCCACAAGGCAACTCTTGTGCAACAACGCTGCTTAATATCTCGCTTGGAGAAGAGAAATCGAACTTGTGCTTTGAAACCACTATATCCTTAGGAACAGAATTTTCTATGCGAGCTTGATTTTCTGTAACGTCAATGCTTGCTTGGCATTCAAATTCCATAAAAAGAATAGCTTCAACCTTGAAAACAGAGAATCGAAAGGGCAAGCAAACGAACCCCAAACCCGCGAAACTAGAAACTGGAAGGAAATCCACAAACCCCAGGCGAGATTCGTAGCCAAAGCTTCAAACTTTTGCCGAGATTTGAACGAACCCAACAACAATGGGAAGCCAAACACCCTGAAAACAAAGACCCAGATGTGATTACAACACAGGAAATCAATTTAGGCGAAACTGAACGAAACTTTGAAACAGAGGAAATTCGGAATTCAACAGAAAGGCAGAGACTTTTTGCAACGAACCTTCACAGATCAATGAGCGATCGTCGATCCACAATTGAATGGAGAGAGAGAGAGAGAACGGACTACGTAGAACGATTGGGAGAGGGAAAGAGAGAGAGTATTTGAGGTCCAATCCTTTGCATGCTCCGCTGCGTTTGCCGGTGATTCTGGCGAACCGTGCCTGTTCTCCACTGATCGGTGGCCAATCAAATCGGACGGTGCAGATGAAGCTCTCGCGGTTCAATAGTTACGGTTGCAGCCGTAGGATTTAGCCTTATTTTTATTTCTGGTAGGTATATTCTTTATGGGCCGCCCGCAATAGGCCCAATTAGACCTAAACTTGGACTTTATGTATATCCAAATGTGGGTTTAGAGATTGAAGAAAGACAAGTGATAAATCTCTTACTTTTCATACATGATTTTATAATTTTATTTAAGCTATGTAAGTAGACGCATAACAATAAATCTAAATTATTGCAATTAATATAAAAAAGTAATTAGAACGTAATAATATTTTAGTCTCATATGAACTCTAAATGTATGTGAACAAAAACTCGATCTAGTGGTATTATCAATTTATCAATGATCTTTCAGCGTGGAATATAAGTTTGAGTTGTTTAAGTAACACCTAATTAAAAGAAAATGCAAACTTATGTCACCAATAACAACTATTTTGAAAAGACAATGAAATCGGTGATGTGTTGAAAGTCGGTATCTCTACTTTTGGGGTTGTTGCTTCACTAGGTGGCATATGCAACCTTGGTATATTTTTAAAGACTCTTGCTATTGCTTGCATTATAAGTAAATGAAAGTTCTAACAAAAATAGAAGTAAAGGAAAAGACTATGGTATATCTAACTTATACCTCCATTTTCTATTTTGGATGGATATATTTGAATGAATGATGAACACCAACTATCAAAGTTAGATTATGATTATCCTCATTAGAGTTGTATTTAGATATAGTCTAGAATTTTAATTAATCGATCTATTTTTACTCGAAAATTTGTCCTTGTAATCCTCATTAAAGTTTTCTTTATTTGTAGCCAATCTTTTTTTTTCATATATATAAGTATATGATAAATTTTTTTCTATAAAATTATCATGATCTCTTGTTATTGTTATAAAACTCCAAAATATGAACATTTCAAGACCTAATAATCATAATTTTGATGTCCATGGACCTATATATAGTTTTATAGATCCTAATTTGCCTCCTTAATCATCTCCTCTCCCTCATTTTCTCCCCTTTCTTATTCATACCAACCCCACAAATAGCCAATAAAAAAATTTATAGAAAAGCCACCAAAACCAAACGTATAATCTCTTTTCCATAACGTTTGGATCATCAAACACCCCCCAAGAGAACCAACAATCAACAATGTCGGATTCCTCGCCGGACGCTGCCGCCTCAACCTCTTCCTCCGCCACCGGCGTCGTCCCGTCCCACTCCCCATCAAGCTCCCTCTCCAAAATCCAAGCCTCCATCCAAACCCTCTCCGCCATCGTCCCCTCCATCCCGCCGTCCCTCCTCACCTCCGAGAACCCGGCCCTCTACCTCCTCCACGACCCCGACGTCTCCGCCACCATCTCCTCCCTCCTCCGCCGCCCCGACTCCGGCTCCGGCGACAACAACCTCTGCCGCTGGCTCTACGACACGTTCCAGTCCACCGACCCCCAGCTCCAGCTCGTCGTCGTCCGCTTCCTCCCCGTAATCGCCGGATCCTACCTCTCACGCGCCGCCTCCTCCGGCCTACGCGCCGGCAAGACCCTCGCCGGGTTCGAGGCCGTCCTCCTCGCCCTCTACGCCCACGAGACCACCGCCCGCGACGGAAACTCCGTCACCATCAACATCCCGGACATCTCCCACCCGTCCATCTACCACGAGTCAAAGATCCCTCCTTCGAAAAACAACGCCACCGTGCTCAACATCGCCGTCATGTCGCCGGCGCTCGAGCCACACGGCACCGTGCGGTCCACGCGCCGCGGGAGGATCGTGGGCGTCGCGCTCGAGCTCTATTACAGCAGGATCTCCCAGATGCCCAAGGACTCCAAGATGGAGTTCTGCGAGTTCTGCGAGAAGTGGGCCGGCATCTCGCGGCCCAAATCCGGTGGGTCGGATGGAAAGGCCCGCGAGGAGGGAGAGGGAGGAGGTGGGAGGATACCTCTGCCGTGGGAGGTGATGCAGCCCGCGTTGAGGATATTGGGCCACTGCATAATGGGGCCCAGCAAAGATGTCCAGCTGTACGACGCGGCCTGTGGGGCCTGCCGGAGCTTCCACGCGCGGGCCCTGCAGGATATGGACGCCAAGGCGATTCTGGCGACCGGGAGTCTTCTCAGGGTGGCGGAGATGTCGGTGGATCCCAAGAATAATGTCGATCATACGGAGATTAAATTTACGGAAAGTATTACCGTTTGAATAATTGAAGGTTTTATTTTATTATTCTATTTATTGTTGTATTTAATGATACTTAGATCAGGTGGATTAATTTGTAATGTTTTGAACATCAAGTTACTCAAGTGGTAAGATATGTGATGACACCATATGCTCTTGGGTTCAGTTTCAACAACATCTACAAATTGTGAGAAAAACAAAAAAGGTTAAAGTTAATATATGAGTCTTACAAAAAAAAAAAGGATGGTGAGTAATTTTATGGTGAGTAACCATGAGTGACCCGTCCACATCAGCATGAAATCAGTATCTCTTTCCTAAAAAGTCTTTAATTTTCCCTTCTTTAATCTTTGACGGACCATTTCTCACTCGTTTTAAGTCGAAATTTAAATTTTTTTGCACAGTTAAATCAGATTAATTGTGCTTTTCAAAATGATATTCACTTTGATATATTTTTCGAACAAAAAAATTTGAGCCATTTTTACCAGTCTATACCATATGGTATTGACTGATATTGAAATAAGAGCATACCTATGGTTTGAAACCGTACCATGCTGGTATGAACAATCCAAGATTGTATGATGGTTGAATACATGATAGTAGAAGTATATTAATTGTCATTTACAATTTTTAACATTGTGTACCACAAGATACCACCCCGTACCAGAGTGGTATTGTATGGTATTGTGTGGTAATTTTTGGTCCGGTAATTTGTCCACCCAGAAATTTATAGATCCAATAGATCATGATGAACTCGTTCCTTCTGTGCAAACGTTTTCAAAAATGAATTAAAAACGAAAAAAGATATCATATGGTATGCAGTTGATACAAAGAGGCAAGATTTTTTTTTCAAAAAATATTGAAAATGTATATCATTTTGTAGAGCACAACGAACACATTTCATCTGTGCAACAAAAAAAAATCCGAGTTAAAACGAAGAAGATATGAGCCGATTAAGAAAGTTAGAGAAAATAAAAATGACATTTAATTCTCCATCCTTAGATCTGGATTTTATAAATGAAAGGTGCAGATTTAATTATTAATGAGTGTATAACCCATGATTATACACTCTATACATTTAGAAAAAAAGTTAATATATGAGTTAGGGTTTATCGCAAAAGTCCGTCTATCGTCCGGATTCGCGTGCTATAATATATATATATATATATATATATACTAGCGTGGGCCCCGGCCATTTGGCCGGAGGAATGTGAGGTATGAAATTTGATGATGTAATGTGGTGTATAACTTATTGTTGTATAGTTTTTTTTGGAAACACGTGATAAAAATAGTGAATTTTAGTAGGAAAGAGACATGAATGATGCAACGAATCAAAAATCAGCCTTATGAACCAAAATCAAGTACCTGTTACCTTGTGAAACAATATTGTTTCTGGTAATATGATGAGGTGGAGTAAGTTTTATAGAAACCGAATTCCAAAAAAATTGAATAAAAAATCGCCTATCCTGTCGGTTTTCGGGAAATGAGCATCTCACAATTGTTGCTAACTTTTACTCGGCCCGTTGGCCGATTAATTTGCTTTGTAAAACTTTCATCTTGTCATCATTGTGCTTTCTGTTTTTTGCCAAGCCATGATAAAATCTAAAGAAATCAAGAATGAACAACACGATTTGGGATAGGAACCACCGTTCCTGTATCCCTAGAAAATGGTGGTAAACACTGACTCACCTGCCAAACTGGTTTGGATTGAGATTTTTATCGGGTATCAGGGAACCATGTGATTATAAATTAGACTTGATCAAAACGGGCCAAAACTTGAAATTCAGCATGTTTGACCGACCCATGCCAAACTCTAATTATTCTTTACTTTTAAACTTTCTATTTGAAAATAAAAAATAATGAAAGAAAAGAGATGACAGCAATTCACCATTTGCACATCACTAATTCGGGAATAAAACTATAGAATTTCGAAAGGAAACTGAAAATGTTTAGGATCGTTTTAATGTTAAAAATAACCAAATAGATCTTTTTTGTTTAGTTTTTTACTAATAAATACCAAACGATTCCCTATAATATACACTATAATTTAATCATTATGATATCAAATAATTACATAATATATATTTGAAATGATAAAAATTGGACTAATTGGGTTGGTCGAGGTTGAACCATTGAATAAATTTAAAATATATTATATTTTAGCTACTAAGATATAAAATAATAGCATAATATATATTATGCTAGAGAAAATAGTTTGTTTTAGAATGGCAAACCCATGATGTTCATTTGTTTTACTTGATGGGCAAATCCCGAGTAGGTCAGACCTATTCAACTCTTTTATTTTATGATTAGTAGTTAGCCCATTAGAATCCATCTATTAGTTTATTGTTAATTTTTTTCTTTTAAGCAATAAAAAGGAGTATTGTTTTTTCCTTTTCATATATATTTTACCACCACGGAGAAATAAAAGGACTTAAAGAAAAAAATTGACACTCCTGAACCCGTTTAAATCCGCATGTGTACGGTAAGTTGGCCCGTTCCACAGAGGAAAAAGAAAAAAAATTGACACTCCCTATTCTATCCTTCCTACAAACGCACCTGGAGCAGGGAATTTGAAATGGGGGAAGGGTTTTTTCCTCTCTGCAATTATATGTTTTTAACGTAAAAAGATACTACAAATGTACTTAGTGTGATTGGTTATGATATTTGTTTTTCTTTAAAGTGATCATGGTTCGAATCCTAGTAAGTGTCTTTTTAATGAATAAAAAAAAGTAATTGTGAAGACCAAAATGTCCTCCCTACTTTCACTCTAGATGCAGGAAATTTGAAATGGAGCTTGAAGTTTTCTCATTTGGCTTTTATTTATTGTGTAGATATATAGATCGCCTTAGCTAGCTATGTTTTCTTTCTTAACCCTCCGAACAAAAATCGAATCCCAAACGGTGGCTAGGGCTAAGAGAGCCGAGCCATGCAGAAGCAAATTCCGGCGGACCTACAGATCGATATCTTGCGTAGGCTTCCACTAGCACGGTGGATCGTCCGATTCCGCTGCGTCTCCAAGTCATGGTGCGCGCTCCTTTCGGACCCCTCCTTCGCTCGGCAGAAACTATTCTTCTCCGCCGCCGCCGCCGACGAAAACCCGGACCCTTCTTCTTCTTCTTCTCCACTAACTATGATCGTCAAGAAGATCTCCCACGGCGGCCACGACGGACTTGTTGCTAGGTCGTCGTCGTCAGCTTACTCTCTCCACTCTTGCACCACGCTCGAACCCCTCCTCCAGGCGGAGCTGCCCTTCGACTTGGACACCTACCGCATCGCCGGGTGCTGCAACGGCCTCTTGTGCATGCACTTGAGATGCTTCGGCTACGTCGATACCCGACCGGCGTCTCTGATTCTTTGGAACCCGGCGACCTCGGAGACCAAGGTCTTGCCGCCTACCCTTTTCGACCGTCCATGCGACGATGATCAACATGCCACGGTTCAGGCGGTCGGGTTTGGTTTCGATCCGGAAACGAATGACTACAAAGTTGTTAGAGTAATCGACTACATGGAATTTGGTTGGCATATTTGGAAGGATCCTTTTGTGGAGGTATACAGCTTGAGGAATGATTCATGGAAGAAAATACTCGACGACAATATCGGCCGCGGCGGCGGCAACTCTGACGATCACTGCTTTCCTCCTCTGCTTCCGTACCCCCAGTTCCCTCAATGTTCTAAGGGGAAGTTGTACTGGTCGAACAACAACGGAGGGAAGAAGAGTACTGCTCGGTTCGTTTCGTTCGACTTGAGCAGGGAAGTGTTCGAGACTGTTGCGGTTGTGAAGAATATTCCTGCCAAGCACGGTCTCGTCTATTCCTTGTTCGTGCAAGATTGTTTGGCGGCGGTTTGTTCGTTTAGCGAAGCCTCTCCGGAGATCTGGGCGTTGCTCGAGCTTCGGGTGTCGGAATCTTGGACCAAGTTGTTCACCATCCCGGCGGTGATGATGACCGCCGCCGGGGGCTATACCATCTTGGGTGTTTCCGGAGATTTCTTGTTTTACGAGATGAATTCCAAGCTCCGGAATAGCTGCGATCGCAAGGGGAACCATCGGATGCACGCGGAGTGTCGTGTCGAGACCGGGGAAATAGTTGATCTTAGAATTCCGTTCGAGTCGATATCTCAAATTGTGAATTATGTCCCTCGTCGAGTTTCTTTGTTTTAGAGCGCTGGCCTGGGCGATGTGATCGATGTTTTTATCTTTTTGGAGAACCCGCTATTTTGTTGTTTGTACGATGTAATTTTTTAGACTTTTTACGATTTACAAGAATACAAATAGTACATCGGATCGAGAGTTCTTGTGATGGTAAGGAGAAGTCACCCACGAAGGGGGGGGGGGGGGGGGGAGGGAAATGGAATCGTGAGAACTTTCGTAGCTAGAAGAATTATAGATTGTGGAGAGCTAGCTAGGTGATGCATTGTACACTAGTAGCATACAAAATCAAATCATAAATGTGAATTAGTGAAGAAGCCAAAAGTAAACTCGTGGAAAGTTTGGGTAGTGAAAAATAGCTAGAAGACGATTTGATGACTTGGTCCAAACATATATAGGTGAGACTATAGAGAAAAGACATATAGGTGAGATTAAACATTCATCATGCTAAAACTCTACTCTTTTGACATTCATTAGAATGGGCTTTGCGTTTGTAATGTCAATTGTCTATGACGAGTGATGATGTTTATTTGCAAATTTCTCACCTCGTATAAAAGAAAGGGTAAAATCACGTCAATGTGTGATTCAACGTAGACGCGGTGGCATCGCTTTCACTATCCTACTAAACTTCATCAGTCGCCATATGATTTCTGTGCTTCTGCTAGACTCTGTTCTCCCCGAAATTACTGAATTTTCCAGTTCTCTGTGGCAAAGATGTCTTTGGATTCTAAGAATAATGTTGAATGTATGGGGATTAAATCTACCGAGAGTATCATCATTCGAAATTATCGAGGGTAACAAAGTTTTTCCGTGTTGGGACGGTCATTTTGAGGAGGTATACAGCTTGAGGAACGATTCTTGGAAAAGAATCGACATTGGTTATGTTTCTTCCGAGAGTTGTTTCATTATCATTGGTTTGATAGTCTGTAGCGTATAAAGACATAAATGTATCTACATAGTGAATTCGTTGAATCACACACCACATTAACGCACACGTAATCCAGCGACATTCGTTCGGTCGATTTCCAATAACAAAAGAACACATTTGATGAGAGTTCATGTAATGGAAAAGAAAAGTCACATAGGGATTGAATCATGAGAACTTTCCTAGAAGAATTATTGATGGAGAGAAACCAACATATGTCACGATGAAAGAGGATCACAATATAATAATGATACAAATGATCAAATCGTAAGAGTAATGGAGCCAAAAGTAAACTCGTGGAAAGTTTGGGTACGTGGTGGAAAATAGAAGACGACGACTTGGGGTCAATGGGAACTTCACCAACCACTAGGCGGGTTGGAGCCGAAAGGTCATCATCATCAGTTGCTGTGGAAGAAGGACGTGGAAAGTAGGAGGAACAAAGTTGTGGTGGTGAATAGTAAATGTGTGGAAAGTCCGGGACTGGCTGTTGGTGAGCCATGGCCTGACGGTCCAGTTCCCGTGCCGCCGTTCTCGCCGCTCGACGGCGAAGGTCCCATCATCGGTCCTCCGGCAGGTGAGTCCGCGGTGGCTCCTCCTCCTCCTCCTCCCTGGCTCGGCAATGGCGCCCCCATCGGGCTTCCGCCAAGTCCTGCTCAGAGAAGTTTAACTTAGTAAAAATTGGTGACCAATTTGTAACTATTTCGAAAATTTTGGGATAGGACTAGATAATTGGAATTTACCACCCAAGTGGGTACTATGCAACAGCTCATCTAGCAGAGGAATGGGCAAGCATTGAAAGAAACAAGGGCATGTGATGGTTATGCCAACTACCAACTTTTTTGTGTGTATAGACCACAATGTGTCATAAATTTTGAGACTCCTAATTTGGTATAGCTTACAGTGACCATTTATTTATTTGAGATGAGAACTTTGATTGCTTTAGGTTTGATCACATTATGGATAAGAGAATTAAGTCTATGCTAATCACATGATGGTTATAGTGATTAAATTCCATCCAATGTGACTGCAAAGTATAAGCAATCAACCCTTTAGTTAATGAACTTGTGAGCAAATCTTGTCCTTTGAGGTAAGGGATTCTTTCCATCGAATTGGATAAGCTCGATTTTCAGTTTCATGGAACGTTTTTCTTAGAACACAAGACAAGATGTGGACCGAAACAAAATCGAACAACACCTATACCTATATTTTAATTTTAACTCTCGTATTTAGTTTTCTTTATTTCACCTCTAATCCTACTACAATTTGATTATATTCTCGATCCGACGATAACATTCCTGAATTCACATTAGTCACATATATTTCTGAAGACTCTTAAAATACTAATAATCCTCTAGAACTTTTCTATCTCCTCCAAAATCTCCTTTCCCATTCTTCCAACCATGATGATGGTGGGAACCTCTTTTCTCCCATGATTACCTCCCCACCACGACGACGGTATTCTACCTCATGGGTGCGCAGTTGACTTCACCAAGTCAATGTGAATGCACCTCAAATTTCCACACAAACACAAAAACCCATAATGTGAAAAACGAAAAGACTTTTTCCCAAATTCCCGTTTCGTCGAAATTATAATGTAAACTCTGTCCATCACCAAGTGACATTTCCCCAGAAAACAACAATGTAATTTGGCCATGAATTCCAAAGGCAATACCTACCTTCCAAAAATACCTTAATTGCACGTACTACATGTTCTCCCGTGAGTTAGTACCATTTTAGTTTTTTTTTTCTTCTTGCTTTTCCATTTCCATTATTGATGGATCCAAAATAAATGCACCGATCAACAACCACTTATTAACTGGTGGCCGCCGGTCCACGCAATTAATTACTGACCACCCATCCCCTAGCCACCTAGCCAGCTGCCATTTTGGACCCATTGCTAAATGCAACATAACATAAATAATGGTAATACGAAGATGAGAACATCGACCGACTTCGTTTTAATTTACTAAGTGTCATGAACCAGTTGCTCCCAATAACTCGAGTTGTTGGGAGAAGGTTATGCGGGATCTTATACCACTCTCTAACACGCCCCCTCAAACGAAAGCCAACTCACGGGCTTGAAGTTTGCACAGGCCCACCATACCATGTGCTTGAAAGACAACGGTTAATATTGGGGGTCGTGGAGATTCGAACACATGACCTTTCGGTTCTAGGCTCTGATACCATGTCATGAACGAGTTACTCCCAATAACTCGAGTTGTTGGGAGAAGGTTATGCGGGATCTTATACCACTCTCTAACACTAAGTACCACGAAACCCATCACACTCCGAGTTCGAACCTAGTCGATTGGATCGTGCGAGTACGTACCTGGACAGAGGCTAACGGGAGGAGTGGAGACGGAGCAGACGGAAGGCAGCCCGAAGGCTCTCGTCCTGTCGATGTCGAACCCGTAGTCGGAGGCGTTGAGGGTGAGCAGCGTGCAGAGGCAGATCGGGTTGCTGTCGACCAGACCGGCCAGCTCCGGGCAGCACGGTTTGTCCGGTTTGGTCAGGTTGCTCCCGGTTGTCACGTACGACAGGCAGTCCGACAGGTTGAACAGCTGCGTCATGCAGTCCACGGCAGGAGCCGGAGCTACTCCTCCGCCACCGCTTGATGACGGTGGAGACATCGAGGGGGCGGTGGGGCTGTAGTAGGGAGCTGGGCCGGGGGACATGGTCTGGGCCGAGACGGCGGAGATGATTACGAGGAACGCCGCGGCGGCGGCGGGGAGATGTCGGAACATTGTGGAAGGGAAGGGAGTGTATTGGGAGGAGAAAGTTTGAATCTTGTTTTTTTTGGGATGTGGGAAATGTATTGTGCTTTGTGTAGAGAGAGGCTATAAGGGTAAAGCTTGTATTGGGTTTTATTTTGGATGGGTGCAATAAATGTAGGGAACTACCCAACAAGATGTCCTAACTTCATTATGATCTTTTTTATATTGTGTTGGTCTGGTTAGAGGTCGGCATTGGTTGATTCGGTCTAGAATCGGATCGAATCGAAACATGATAAAAAAATCAAAGGAAAAACGAGGATTGGTGTCAGATCGAAAACATGTCCGTTTCATTTGGTTCTGTCCAAATTCAAGTCTGACCCATCTTTTTCATACTTAAAATAATTCATAGGATCAAAATCGAATCGAAATATATATATACTATCCGATTTGATTCGATTCTAGCCGATGTGGACTGGATCGTTGCCCAGCCCTAGGCTGATAGTGGTATGTGAAATTGTGAATGTGTGTTGGTTTCTAGTAAATGCTTGCTTGCCCAACTTGTTCAAACTTCTATTGTAGCCCCTACTACTCGATCTACCATATTTATTCAAGGGTATTAAGGCTTCTTGGTAGGCTGATTGTCCCAAATGTTGGAAATGTCATGTGAGGGTAATATTATGGTTGTGTGTGGGTGTGGGAAAATGAGGGGAAAAGATGAGTTGTTGTGTTGTAACAAAATGGGGAAGAAAATGTCATACACATGGATTTGGGGGGTGCATGGATTAGATATGTGTTTAGAGAAAGTAATTAATGAAACTACTTAGTTAACATGGAAAGTTTCCTTAGTGTTGGTACTTAACTCGATCCATTGCCAATTATATTGTAACCATTCAATCCTGCTTAAAAAGAAAGTGGGTAGGAAAGTTGTGAATGACCTGCACTTAAAAAAGTTTTTGAAGAAGGCATATACTCGTGAAGAAAGTTTTTAAATGGGACGTACCCTACAACCTAACTTTTGGAAAACACAACTACACAAGACAAAAGAGTAAAGACCTTTGGCTTGGGCAACCTTTCTCTTCATTCTCATCTTTTCCTTTTTTTCCTTTATTAGGAGATAACCATGAACAACCTTTAAGTGATGATATAACACGTGAATTTTTGTTACCAAGATTAAGTTCAAAAACAAGTTAAACAATAACTAGTAGCATGTGGCGTCTAAGTCATGCATACATATATTTTCTTCACCATGGGTGACGTTGACCGATTACTTGTTGTGACCACGCGCTATATATGCTTGCGTTACGACTTTTTTATTCTTTTCATCGAAATATGTTAGCCGATAAATATGTCGGGATTACAATGTAACTATCACATTGGGAAAATAAGGGGGGAGTTTCATGTATATAAATGTACATCTAAATTATAATAGCATGAAGTCTTTTGAAAAAGTACTAAAAACAAATTTATGCGAGCTTGATGATCCGAAATGGACAATATCGTACTAATGTGTTATTACTAATGTGAAGTGGATGGTCTCAAGTCTCAACAGAAGAATGCACTGTGGGCTCACTGCCCAAATTCCCAAAGCCCCCGAGCCCAGCTCACGACTACTAAAACCTGTTCCGACTTCCACCAAGCTATACCCAAAGCATCACTGGGCCTCCACTCTTATTCTCGAGCCCAAGTGAACCACTAGCTAACAATCGTTGAAAACCAGAATGCTGCTGACCTCAGAAAGACGTTTGCATGGGCACACTTTGATCTTTCCAATCATAATAATTGCAGACAAGCTGACCTTTCGGCAGTAAATTGCATTATTGTTAACGAACCTGAAATAAAACGAAGAGGTTCAATTTTGGGGTTTAGTTTTGGAGCTCTCTATGATCGATACGCGTTACGTTAATTACCATATTCGATCTGTATTTGCCTTTGGAATTTGGATCATTAAGCACATAATATATGCGTACTTCCCAGGCAACTAGAGTTTGTGTAACAAATAATGCAGTGAACTGACATCTAGAGTTTGTCTTACCGGCCGGCCGACGTACGAATCAAAAGTAGAAAACGAAATGAGGAATATAATAAGCCGGCGGAGCAATAGGATTTATATATAATGATGAGGGAGCTTCGATCCTTCTTCAACATGTTTAATAATTATAGATTTGCACAAAATGAGTTCAAGTTTGGTTCATGAGCTTGCCTTTGTCATCGTTCTGGTAGTCGTTCTTCTCATCTCTTGTGCTATGGCAGCAGGGATAGCCAAATTAAAGGTACGTATATATACCAGCAAATTCAATTTGTTATTTTTTTTTTACATATGTGACGACTTTCTGAAGTATATATCATATTCGGTTGTATTTCATCGAATCAGAATTGTCGATTTTTATTTGTTATTACATTGATTTTTCGGGTGTGGAGATTTAGAGGATTATGGGTTGGGTTTATTCATCGGAAGTTAAATTAGAGTATCATATCTCAAACTCGATCTAAATTCATGATGATTAGATAGAGATATCTTATTAGAAATACGCGAAGTATCATACAAAACTAACCGCTACCGTGAATATGCACATGTGCACTGGGCCGTGAAGAGCAAAGGAAGAAACTGCTGCCACTGTTGTACGACGACTGCCAAGACGTCCAAAAGTGTTGTGTGAGCGATTGTGGCTTGGGCACTGGTTTCGAGCATTGTGCTGATACCGATGCCTTCTTTAGATAATTGCTAGACCCGATGAATTTTGTACTTTTTTTATATTATCATATCAATTATTTGAGATTGATAGCAATGCTTTGATTCGAATTATTGAAATTAACTGAATACTCCTATATAAGAGTCAAAAGGATTACGTATTTATATCATCATCACCTCTAAAATTAACTTGTTGATTTACGAACATGATAGGACAGATGTATACAAACTTTTGATTTATGAATTTGATTTTTTTTTCCTTCTATATATCATAACCGGACCAACCCGAATTAGCATGAAATGCGCCGATCCAAACCGAGCCATGCATGCAAGAATTGTGATATCGTACCCTTCAAATTATCCAACACGAACCGGCAAAGCTAGCCGGAAATGCCCAACCGGCGCTCGACGAAGGAAACGAGAAAAAATCAAACAATGAGTATTAATTGCCGGAGATACAGGATTTTCAATGCTATGGGAACTTCCTTCGTCAAGAGTCTTGAAAGGACCGGCACGTGATTGGGGTGGTTAATTTAATTATGATCATTATACTTGCAAATGGTCATTGAACTTTGAGCTAGTTTGAAAAAATGACCTCTAAATTTTAAGATTTTTTAATCAACTTATCACTAATATTCGTATCGCACTGGTCTAATTATTGTCGGGATTTCACATCAATATCCATCTTCACATAAATGCTTATTAGATATTGTATATAAAATATCATGATTAATCAATATGTAGTATGCCAGGATATATGTGAAAATACGGATAAAACTAAGACGTGTATATTGCATGAACATGTCTTCTGATCCACAAAATAACGCGTGTGAAATCTCATATATATGATTACTTTGAGGAAGCTTTACATGCACGATGATATGAGCACATTTTGCATAAAGAAAACAAAGTCGAATGAAAATAGATTGAATAACTACCACTACGTATTGTACACGTACATTAGTTAATCTAATCATGTCGACCGACGCGACGAATCTGATTGTTAGGAGTTAAAAGTTACAACAATGCGCTTGTTATTTACCTCAAAGTTCAGTGACCATTTGTGCTAATTGTATCATAAACTATACATAAAGGAATCAAACGCCGGATTATGTTGACTTGTGTATACATACGAAACATCTATCTATATATATATTCCTCAAAGAAGAACAACCACTTTTATGTCGAATATAAAAGAAGAAGAAAATCAAACAAAGAACATATATTACTACAGACTGCTGTAAGCTTTTGGTTGCCTGCAACAAAAATGAAGTCAATTAGTCTTGTTCATAAGCTTGCCTTGATCGTCGTCCTGATAGTGGCCATTCTCAGCTCTTGTGGCATGGCAGCAAGGATGACCAAAGGTAAAAATATATATGTTCCCTTAACCTCGTTTTGATAATCATTATGGTAATTAAGTAATTATGATTAGATGCGGCTCTCTAACTATTTATTACCGGGCCATATGTTATTTGCATTGTAATTCCATCATACCATCAAACCCTAATTACGTATATTGGAAAAGAGCAAGGGAAGAAACAGACACAGTCGTTTGGCTGCTCTGGCGACCGGGACTGTTGTGTCCCTGAACCGGGCTGGGGCACCGGCTGCGAACGTTGCGCGGATCCCGACTGCGATTTCCATTATCTGGCCGGTAGCCCGGCTCGTAATTATAATCAGCCCTAGCTAGCTAATGCTAGGACGATGAAGGCTGAAGTGGTGCGAAGAAGTCGCGGTTTGATTTGGATATGACCAAGGTTAATTACGACGGTTCGTGTTTGGGTCCTTTAAGTTACGGCCAAGGTTACGACCGTGCTCGTGAAGAGTATCGTTGGGCTTGGATTTGTACCGTTCTTTCCATCGATGTTGTTCTTTCCCTTTGAAGTGTAACTTTGATGTTTGTTTTCTTCGTTGAATAAGATAATGCGGGGTGTTTTAATTTCTTTCACAAATTTCTTCATTGCGTAAAAAAGAAGTTATGTTTCTTCATTACACGCTACGCGCGTATTCGGACTCAACAGAGACTAGCAAAAGAACTAATTATTATGTATTACGAACCTCGTCGTCTAAAGGAACTAAACAAAATTATTGTAACCTTCATTACTATACATTAATTATGATAATATAATCCTTGTCTCATTGAAGTTAATTACTTTGTGATCAAGTGCTATATGGTGGAGAGGATTATGGAGTAAGATGTTGGTAAAAGAGACCAAGATTATGAGGACCATTCTGAAATTCGATAGAAATCGATGTAGTGCATACCCTAATGGTAAAGCTCTGTTGGTTTGGAAAGAGAGGATTCATGGTTCGGAATTTACATTCCACCTTAAAAAGTCGCGATATTTTTAATGTGTACTCTTTTTCTAATAGTGGGGTTCGTGTACCCCGCAACTCTCCATGTAGCACCACCGGTGGAAATCATATATCAATGAATAGTTTTCTTTATTTTACAGAGGAAGATTATCGGGTGAATATTTGTTTAGAGCGAAAGGAAAAAAATGGATGAAAAGTAGTAATAATTATCTTGAATTGAATATATATATGATTTTATTTGGGGAGTTGGTTGCACGATTTGGGTAACAAATAGGAAGAAAATAAGAGCATATTAGAGAGCTAGAGAGTGAAGATTGAAG